TAATAATAGTTATTTATAACAAATAGCAATATTTAAAGATATATAAGTTAAATGTCATAAACACAATAGAAATAAGGAACGTTACTTATTTTACCAGGAGAGCGCGTGTTCCAAATTGATCTGGTGTTAAATATCCACAATTATAGATGATTAATAATTCCTGTGAGTGTGATGGGTTCCCCAATGATATGATTCAGTAATAAATATGGTATATTCCAATTATCGTCTGTAAAGATAAATGGTACTTGCTTTAGACTTCAGTTGACACAAATGCGAGTGAATTTAGAACGAGAGGTATGTGTGTAGTAGTGTATTTGAGACAATCACAGAAAGTGTCACGCTATGTTAGTATCACAACGGAAAAAGTGATCAAGGTCATTTACTAAAACAACAGGTGCAATGATTTAATAATAAATGTACACACAGTGAAAGGTTGACAAAATGAATACAAATAATAATAAAAATTATTTACAAAATAAGTTTGACAGACCTATCTCCACAGTCTCATATTTCCTTCTCTTGCAGCTTTTTCCGCCGTCGTTGCTAGTTCTTCCACGTATTTTTGCTTATCAGCTCTAATGCTCTTCTTCACTTTCTTGTTTGCTTCTATGTACTCTGCTTGTGCTTGGACTTTCTCTGCTCTTGTTCGACTGTTGTTAATTGCTGTCTTCTTGTTCTTTCTTTCTTTGATCCTGTCCAATGTTTCTGTAGAGATCCATTCCTTGTGATGACGCTTCTTGGGGCCCAGAACCTCTTGACACGTTGAAGTTAATGTTTCTTTGATACTTTTCCAGCTATCCTCCATAGTAGTTTTTTCTTCCTTCAGTAGATCCTGTTTTGCTTGGAACCTGTTGTTGAGAGCTACCTTGAATTCATTGAGTTTGTCAGTATCTCGAAGGAAGGCTGTATTGAACCGTTGTGGTGCTGTTTGTCCAGTTGTCCAGTTCTTCTTTAGCTTCAGTTTCAATTTGGCCACAACTAGGTGATGATCTGAAGCTATGTCCGCTCCTCTCCTGGTTCTCACATCTTCCATTGTCCTTCGGAACTTTTTATTGATGCAAATGTGATCTATCTGGTTCTCTGTGGTGTGGTCCGGTGAGATCCATGTAGCTTTGTGTATACGTTTGTGTGGAAATGTTGTACCGCCTATGACCAATTTATTGAATGCACACAGATTTGCAAATCTTTCCCCGTTTTCGTTTCTCTCTCCCAGTCCATGTAGTCCCATGATGTCTTCATATCCGGCGTTGTCCATTCCGACTTTGGCGTTTAGATCTCGCATCAGAATGGTGAGGTCCTTTCTTGGGTACTTCTCTATGATTGATTGCAGCCTCTCATAGAATTGATCTTTAACGTCGTCGTTGCTATCATTGGTGGGTGCATAACATTGGATAATGTTCATTGTGATCCCCTCCTTCTTTGTTTTGAATGATGCTTTGATGATTCTGGATCCGTGAGATTCCCATCCTACAAGTGCATTTCGTGCTACTTTGGATAGCATTAGAGCAACTCCCTGAGTGTGTGAAGCATTTTCCTCTTCGTGGCCGGAGTATAGCAGCATCTCTCCCGTATTTAGCCTTTGTTGTCCAGCTTGGGTCCAATGGGTTTCGCTGATTCCCAGCACTGCCAAGTTGTATCTCCTCATTTCCGTTGCTATTTGACTGGTCTTCCCGGTCTCCCACATTGTCCGGACGTTCCATGTACCTATAAAAATTGTTGCTCTGGTTTTTAGGAGGGGCATCGGCCTCGTGGCTTCCGAAGGAACTCGGCTTTCACCATGAAGCGTCATATTACCTCTAACTCCCAGGGCAGAGTTTAAATGGTTTGAGTTATTTTTTCTGGTTAGCGTTCTTTTAGCGAGTTTGGTTTCTACGGGATGGGGACGCCAACCCCATGCCCAACCCTCCTCCTTTACCCGGGCTTGGGACCGGCAGTAACTCTGGAAGAGCTACAGGCGGAGTTAGGAGTCCGGTAATACCAAGATTTTCTAACTTCATGAGCAGTCTATTTATTGGCACCTTGTCAAATGCCTCACTGAAGTCTATGTAGACAACATTCACTGAGTTTCCGTTGTCTAGTGCTTTTATACAATGCTCCCTTGTTATAAGGAGGTTTTTTGTGCAAGATAAACCCTTTCTGAAAACATGTTTTCTGTTTAACAAGTTGCTGGTTTCCACAAATGTCATTATGGCCTTTTTGACTATTCTTTCCAATATTTTAACTATAGCACTAGTAAGGCCGACAGGTCTGTAGTTCGATGGAAGTTGTCTTGGTCCCGTTTTATGTATGGGAGTGACGATTACATCCTTCTAGTCCATAGGTAACACATCTTTGTCAAGTGATATGTTGAATAACATGGTCAGTTTGGCTACGATATATTGTGGAATATGTCTCAGGATTTTGAGGTGTAATTCATCCGGTCCTGTTGGCTTTCCTGTGTCTGTAGTGTTAAGAACCTTACGTACATCGTCTCGGTCAAAGTTCACGGTGAGCAGATGGTTTGTTGATTTTGTATTTGTGTCTAGTTCTTCGTCTATACGAGGTTCCTGAGTGGAAACCGCCCTAAAATAGTTAGCCATAGCCTCTGCTTCCCCGGATATATAACTGTCTGAAATGAGTCCATGTTTCTTGTACTGATACTCTTAAGTCAAATTCCCAGTTTTCAGCTGATACTGCAGAGTTGATTGCTTCTATGTCTGTCTTCCATGTTAGGACGGGCCGGCAAAAATGTTTGGCAGGCAATCTCAGCCATGAATTTGATTAAGGTGACTGCATGATCGCTCATCCTTAGAGGAGGAAGGAAAGTCATCTGACCAACGTCATCACCGTGTGTGAAGACTAATCTAAAGAAGAAGAGTTTCTTAAGTCATATATCGTGAGATTTCTAATGTGTTGGAACATAGCTAGTGCAATTGAGGTTCCTAACAGTTTGCAATCGAATAGCGTTATCGACGACCCTACTTCTAAGTTTACCTAGTTTATATACGGTGCATTGAAATCGCCTACCATTAGGGTTTTACACCTATTACACCAGAACATAAATTTGCTTAGGAGGAAGTCAACTAATAGACATTCTGTACTGCGACATACTACAACTAATTCAATATTTTGCCGTCTACATTTCAGTCTGCAACGCATCAGCTCACGTGTCCCTGAATCATGTGCCACCGTCTTAACTGCTCGTATGATTGAGGTACTTTTCGTGTACAGGATAACCTGCCCCCTCCCTACGGTTCAACATATCAGCCCCATTGGATAAAAAACAGTCAAGTGAATTTCATTATCGATCAATTTTGATGATAACTATGTTTATGAGGCAGCAGTAACATCCAGTCTTCCTATATCTATCACTGTCTTGAGCTCCACCGTTTTTATTTGGTAGGCTGTGAGCATTTATGTAGCACAGCTTTGATTTTGTGGAGAATTTTCCCTTACCACCCAGATTAGCGCGAGGATCGTTTTGCTTTGAACTATTATAATTTGGGAACTCTTAAGTACGATGTTTCTTTCACCGATTCGTCGGCGCTTATTTAGTTTTATTTCTGTAGCTCTTTTCTTAATAAGTTCAACTAAGCTGGGATGCTCGCGGACGTGTATTCCGGATACAATCAGTTTGTGTGAATTTCCCAGTATCAGGTTTCTTTAGTCAACCGTAGCAAAGGCAACATTAGAGGCGGCTATTCTGAGTACTTTCAGAATCTACCTTTTGTCCTATTCTATAAAGCTTACAGATGCCAACTCCTGAAACTGCTTCTGGGAGTAGCCTGCTTATTAAGGACTTAATTTGACTGAGGTCATGCTCAAATCTAGCGTTTGGATTATCTTGACTTACGAAAAATGACTGACTCCATAGCGAGGTCTGTCGTAACACTTGTAATCCTAGTTCCTGAAGTCGTCTCTTCCCTTCAATCCGACCTCGATTTTGCGTCAAACACAGGGGTCACACTTGGTTTCCTTACTTTTCTCTTTCTAGGTGTGACTATGAGCCACCCATACACCTTATTTTGTTTCTTAACCACACCCCCTACACCGCTCAGACTTGGCCCCCATAGATTATTTTGCGTTGAGATGTGAACCCGTAACTGAAAACGTGGGTTCATACGCCTTGGTACTGTCTATAAGTAGTTTCTTCTCAGCGCGCTTTTTCACTTTCCTTGTGATAATGTCTACATCCATGTGCTTGTCATCTGCTTCCCTGACGATGTCCACCATTTTGTAGGGCAAGAAACAAATTGCAATAAAGACCCTTGGGTGCTCGCACTAAATTTTGTGCATTCAATATAAGTAATCACCTTATTTATGTATCCCAAAGCAAGTGGACAAAATAAATGTACACTCCTCCTGCCTGTTTATTCCTTTTACACAACCATCAAATACAAAAGAGTGAGAGTTCTATATATTATTTACTAATATGTGGATAAATATTATGTGAGGTTGTTTGAATTTCTGTAACTACAGAATAGTATATAAATGGGTGAAGCTAAGCCATTCTTAATTATATATTCAAATGACCGATTTCAGTTATTTAGAAAATAAAATGAAGTTGAAAGAGTAAGTGGGTCGTAATGCTTACGAAATGGTTAATTTGTGGATCAATGGGCACCAGTTCCTAGTATCGGATATTAGATAATCTTAACCAATTCCATACATGGAGCCTCACAACACTTTCGAACTTCAGTCAACTCTGTCACTACCAAATGAATGATTGTAATCTATAAAGCTCATTAACGTGACCCACAAGTGATATATATTCGGAAGGAAAACTTTGCCAACATTCTTGGTAAAATCAAATAAGAATTTTGCAGCCTATTATTTTATAGAAAGAAACAAAATGAAAATTTGTTTGAGTTGAACTTATTCATAATCTAAAATATTTCAAGGGGAATCCCATCAATACTCCATTTAAAATAAATTCAGAAGACAAAAAACAGGAGGACTAGTAAAATCACATTCCATATTGATAATCACTTCAGCTTATCAGAATGAATAGAACAATTCAATCATTGCCCATTGATTTTGTTATGGGATTTCTTTGCTATAAACTCTTCACTTAAGCGAGAGTCCGTTTCCTCTTTTAATCTCAAAAGATCATCCTAAAACAAAACGAAAGAATTTGGCCAATGGTAATGTGTAAGTTAACATGTAGCTGTAGTTAAGTAGATTAAATAATAAATTGCCATAAGATGAAAAACTTGGAACCATAAAAACTAATGAATAATGAGAAAAAACAATTTATAGATATTAATGGTGTTTGTTAATTTAGTTGTTATTTAAAAAGTAAAGTATTATATTATTTGATTTTACGTGGCTGATGAGAATCAATGAACAAACCCATTTTATATTGCGAAACGATAACACGTCTGAATGACACTTCACATGAAATCTTACTATATGATCAGTCTCATTTGCTGTTTCAACAATAGTTCCACTTTTGAAGGGTCCATGTTAGCATCAACCTCGTTGCCAAATTTCTATGTTTGAAGAGATTACGAGATCGACTGAATCGGCCACGGAACGAAGACTCAGCGATACAATAACGAGACAGATAAATTATTACAATGCGTCTCAGCCCCGCTAACTAGAAGTAGAAGTCCACGTCCGGGAAAATAAATTCCACAAGTACGGATAAGAACAAACACAAACCAAGTATATATATATATATATATATATATATATATATATATATATATATATATATATATATATATATATATAACAATGTCTTTGGGTAACGTCACAAAAAAACATTAAAAGAGACAACCGACCAATGACATTTAGGGTCCTTCCGAGTGGGAAGTACAATCTGAAGGTGAAAATGTGCGCTTTTGGCGCGAACTCCCAAACGAAAATTACAAAAATAAGACGTTTATTAAGTGTGTTTTGGATAGCTAGCATCCAAAAAATTCTGAACGTGAGACTTAGTGGCTTTGAAAGCCAGCGACTCCACCACCATACATACTGCTCTTACATTACATTTAATATATAACTATCTCTGATTGAATGCACATTTAATAATAGTGGCATAGTTTTTGCTATGGGATGCATTCACTGACAGCTTCACATAATTACACTTTTGACCATTTATATATATGATAAATTGTACAGTTTACTATATCGTGAATAAACAGATTTCTAAAAGATGACGAAGATTTTCGAAATTTATTTCTATAGTTCCTTAAAAACGTTGCCAAAATGAGCCTAGTTGGTCATTAGTTTGTTTCATAAGATATTTCACATTATCAAGTGATATTAAAACATATGTTTTGACTATTACTTTCCCTGGAAACTTTTATATCATTGGTTGAACTTGGAAATCTTGTTTGTACTTGAATTATGCTTCTTATGACTGTTCAAAGAAATAGGATCTACACATTTATATTCTTCATGTGGTTAAATGAACACGAAATTCAGGACTGGTTGGTACACTTGCAGTTGCTGGTAGCATGATAAGCCCATATGAGTTACTCTAGCTTTTGGACAAGTCAATTAATTCATTCTTCTCAAGCCATATTTGGCCGTCACATTCGCTTACTCACCCTGACTGTTTCCATATCGTCTGTGTGCTAATCGCTCAAACTATTCACTACATGTCTGTAACTTATTTTTGTCTGAATATAAATTTTGAGTCACGCTCGATTAAAATCAAGTTGGCTCACTCTCCTCCGCTGAGCGTCACTTCATTGCGTTTCGCTTCGCTTTCTTCACCTCGTTCCCTGACTATCTAGCTGGATCAATTAGTGTAAAAAATATACGAATTCAAGATGCATGCTCGTATTTGGCTTATTTCATTCATAACAGTGGAACATATATAAATATCTAAGACATAAAATGGATTAGTGACGCTTACCTTCCAGCCGAGAAGTTCTGATATTTTGACTACACCATCATCAGCATTACCTGACCAAAATATATCACGTTTATTATCAGACCTGCCCCATTTCATATAATTCTGTTTAAAACCAGCCACCATAAACCGCATAATGAATGAAGATAAACCCTCAATAAAAATAACGTAAAACGACGTACTGGGAGATAAATTAAACATAGCTGATTAAGTAATAATTACATTTTTTACGATGCCCAAATTAGTAGAAATCTGTGTTTCTAATTTTTTGTGAATTAGTGTAAGTCACTTTTCCACAGTAAATAAATTAATAACAGTAATTAATTCATATGTTTGAATAAAATAAAAGAAACAAATCAGATTTTTATTGCAATAAACGTCATGATAGGTTGGAATACGACAATGTCATGTTACGTTTTGTCAAAATGCATCAGTATGGGACATTACAATTTTCACTTGTGTCTATGATGGTGATTGTGAAAAGTGCATAATTTGTAACATGAAGTAGTGTACAAAATAAATAGATGATAATACTTTGTCGGTCCACTAAGCACTGCCCCCAAATGCCCTGGTACGGCCGAGAGTGCGGAGAGTCCGCTCTCCCTCTCGAAATGCTCTCACATGGCCATGCGTATACAGCCTCTGCCAGGGAAGTCCTACTCACTGCCTTCTCGTTGCGGGGGTGTTGTTTACAAAAATGAGAGGACGAAAAGCGAATGTCCGGCGCTTTAACCGGACCCCAAACCAATGGTGCACATAGGCTCCAGTATCCTGAAGGAACAAATGGCGTATGAACCAATCGTTGGTCACCGGCTACCATGGGACTGCATCTCCTTACGATGCTCCACTGCCTTGTGGGTCAGACGTTCAGGTCAAAGGCTCGGGGTGTGGCCCCCTAAGAAAACCACCTGCTTCGGTTTGGGCACCCGAGCAGTATCACAGCCCTAACACAAATCAATTGAGATTTGTGTGGCGCATATGTATTTGGTGCCTCCCTGTACCTATACTTATGTGTTAAAATAAATAATAATAATAATAATAATACCATTAAGCATTAGTTCAATCATAAAATCTTTCAAACTATACTTCATTTCAACGCTGTTCACCCTCAAAGGGAATTTATATCAACAAAGGAATGGAGAAGCATCGAATCAACGATACCTATTGTTGCTAATTTATTTATGTCCCATATCGAGTCGCTTATTTTTGCCAGTACCATCAGACCACTCACCTGGCTCATAGTAAACTATGAGTAAACTCCAGACAGCTATGATTTGAAATACTAGAGAATAAAGATACACAAAGGCTTACTATAGTTTTGTTCTCATTGATAGATAATTCCGAAATCTTTGACCTAAATTTATATGAATCCTTTAAGACATTATTTAAGTTGAAGTGGCTTTAGTATACAGCTTAGACATTAGGATTATTCATATGTGGTGTTTGTAAAGCCCACTATGGGTATTATAAGTATATCACGTCTGTGAATTTTTGGTAGCCTATTAAAAGAGTACTGGTGTGAGGCAATAAAATGGGGTAGGTATCATAAAACATTGTGTTAGGGTTAATAATATTAAAGTAGTGTCATTACTTGCAAATTATCACACGAAACCTAGTAACAAAGACAGACGCGTTACTGAATGTTGACTCCACATATACCAATAATTCATCAGTTACTATTTATTAACTCCTATAGCAACCCACTGAACAAATAGCTACTTAGTAGCCTGATTGAAACTAGAATTTTTACAAAATGGAGATAAGTTAGATAGTCTATAATTTTGTAGACGCCTATTTACCTGAATAAATAATTTTGGGTATAGGAAACATTGGATGAGAAACGTCCTCACATGGCCACGTGCATACCGCCACTACCAGGGAAGTCCGATTCATTGCCTTCTTGTGGCGATGTTTCTTTCGAAATTGAGAGGACGAAAAGCGAATGTCCAGCGCTTTAACCAGGTTGGTGGGTATGGAAGATTCATCCAGGGGAGTTGGAAAACTCTGATTCTAAATCAATGGTGCATATGAGCTCCAGTATCCTGAAGGAATAGATGGAGTATGAGACAATCGTTGCTCACCGGTCATCATGGAACTGCAACTCCTGACGCTGTCCTGTGGATCAGAACTTTAGGTCACAGGCTTCGGGTGTGGCCGCTTAAGGAAACCACTTGCCTCTGTTTGGGCACCCAGGCAGTATAACAGCCCACACCCAAATCAAGTGACTTGTGTGACGCATATGCATCTGGTGCCCCTTTGTACCAGTGTGTGTTTAAGTAAATACCTTTTGAACAATCTGATTTCATACTAAACATTACGTTGTTCATTAGAAGAGCACCAAACTAAACCAATGGGGAAATGAAGACAACATAGATAATATTATATTATTTATTTATTTTAACACATAAGTATAGGTACAGGGAGGCACCAAATACATATGCGCCACGCGAATCTCAATTGATTTGTGTGAAGGCTGTGATACTGCCCTTAACTTACTTATGTAAACATAGATAATAAGAAAAAATACATCACACCATTCTGGATGTTAAATTTAAAGGTGATATTAAAAAGGCTCTAAGTAAAAACAAAATATCTCGGAAACAAAAAGGAGTCTTTGTACAGCTAAGGTCAGAATAAACCTTGGTATTTGTCCTAAATCATTTTTACACAACACGATAAAAGCTGATTTGAACTCAATCATCTGACCCGTTTTAACCAAATGTTTGATAATGTGGGAAAGGTGATTAGTTGTCATATGCCATATTCCACAACAACTGAATTCAAAGTAAGACATTAACGCCGTTAGATGCCGGCTCAGTTGTCTAGAGGTTTATCGTTCGCGCGCGAGACCGATAGGTCCTGAGTTTGAATCCTGAGGAGCGGGATCGCGGATGAGCACTGGTGAGGAGCCCCATACTAGGACGAGACGGCTACCCTTCCACGGTGTGGGCAACCGGGAAGTGATATCAGCCCTCATACCCGTAACAGTACACGAGACCAAGTTGGTCACATTCAAATCCTTCCTACACCTCCTAATAACTCTCTTATCTCCACGACTAACCCTTCTTACGTCCCTTTATCACCTCGCCCCGCTAGTGCGAACGATTCGAGTACACGAACGTTATTCCTGGTCTCCTGAAACCACGTTCTAAACTACACGTAGGAGCTTTCAACGTCCGAACACTGTGCCAAATAGGACAACAGGCTTCCTTAGCTAAGACTTTAGAATCTCGCTCTATCGATGTGTGCTGCGTCTTCGAAACGCACACACAGGATCCTAGTAGTGTCATTCACTTGACCGCACCATGTCAAAGTAACGAACCAACTCAATTTTCGCTTCGTGTGTCTGGAAGCCCTGATGCTGCTTCCCGTGGCCTCGCTGGCGTAGGTATAGCATTGAGTCCTAGGGCAGAACTAGCTCTCTTAGACTGGATCCCAGTAGACAGTCGTTTGTGTGCTGTCCGACTAAACGGAACAGTAAGGACTCGAAAAGATAGGGACACCCGTCGTTGCCTCTTCGTCGTCTCTGCCTACTCTCCCACTGACTGCAGCTCAAATGATGTAAAAGATGAGTTTTACAGAAAGCTTTCCCACCTTCTCCGAAAAGCTAGGCGTTCAGATGTAGTAATAGTGTCTGGTGACTTTAATGCTCAAGTAGGTAAACTAAGCAAAAGCGAAAGACACCTGGGTGGATCTTATGGTGTCGCGGCTCAAAGAACAGATAACGGCGACCGTCTGTTGCAGCTATGCTCAGATAACCGCCTGTTTCTTGCAAACACTAACTTTAAGCATAAGGAAAAACATCTTTTGACATGGCGACCCCCTAATTCGTCTCAACGTTGGACCCAAATACATCACATCGCTATCAGCCACCGATGGAGGGGCTCGATAGAAGACTGTCGCTTATTCTGGAGCACATGCTTAGACTCAGATCATGCTTTAGTGCGAGCGCGTATTTGTCTACGTCTTACTGGACGTAGGAAACATGCTGCAAGGAAACCCCTTGGGGTACTACTTAATGATAGTCAAGCTAAGAGTATATTTCAGGAACATCTAGAAAAACAGCTAGACAGCCATGTAAGTGAAGCCCACCCCGAGGAAGCGTGGAATGACATCCGAAAAGCTGTAGAAACAGCAGTGATGTCTGCAAGGACGGTAAACCATAAGGTTAGGGAGAAACACTGGATCTCAGCAGCATCTACCGCACTGATAGATGCTCGAGAACTCATTCCATCTGGCTCTGAACATAACGAAGAGCGGAGTCAGCTTAAGCGTAAGCTGACTAGAAGCCTACGCAAAGATCGTGAACAGTGGTGGGTAGCGAAAGCAAGAGAGATGGAAAAGGTAGCGGCAATAGTTAACAGCAGGCAACTGTTCAGACTTGTTAAGGAAACCGGTATTAGGAACCCAACTGTTAGCGAAACAATCGCAGAGAAAGATGGACATATTATTCATTCTCAATCCAGGAGATTGGATTGATGGGCAGAATACTTTAGGGATCAGTTCAACTGGCCTTCAGCCACACTTCGGTTCCCACGATCTCCAGTCGACCTGAATGGCAAGTTGATGTAAGTCCTCCGACTCTTTACGAAGTTGAAAAAGCTATAGGAAATCTGAAGCGTGGGAGAGCAGCAGGCCCTGACAGGTTTACCCTTGGGATTTTTAAGGATGGCGGTCCAGTATTAGCAGCGAGATTGACTGAGGTCTTAGGTAGAATCTGGGAACTGGACGTAATCCCATTCGACTGGTCTCAATCACTGATTGTGCCAGTCTATAAGAAAGGACAAAAGTCCTCCTGTGACAGTCACAGAGGAATTAGTTTGACTAATATAGTGTCTAAAATATTAGCTTCAATAATACTTCGACGTCTAACCAAAGCTCGTGAAGAGCAGACTAGAGAAAACCAGGCTGGTTTTCGACCTGGACGTGGTTGTATAGACCAAATATTCACATTACGTCAGGTCCTAGAACAAAGACACACATTCAGACGCCCCACAATGGTAGTATTTCTCGACCTTAAGGCGGCATTTGACTCTGTTGATCGTGAGGTTCTATGGCAGTGTTTGTCACTGAAGGGAGTACCAAAGAAGTACATCAACCTTATAAAGGCTCTCTACTCGAACACAACTGGTCGAGTGAGAGCTTATAGTGAACTGTCATCAGAATTGATTACCTCAAGTGGTGTTCGTCAGGGCTGTCCACTCTCTCCATTCTTGTTTAACTTTGTCGTTGACGTCCTTTTAGAGATGACAATTTCCTCATCTAAATTTCCAGGAGTTGAACTTCTACCGGGAGATCCACTTGTTGACTTAGAATATGGCGATGACATAGTTCTATTTGATGAAGACGCTGATAAAATGCAGAGTCTGCGGACCACTCTAAGCAACAATGCAGGCATGTTCGGCATGCGATTTTCTCCCTCGAAATGCAAAATTTTGCTTCAGGATTGGGTTGCGTCGACACCCGAACTAGTGATAGGGAGTGAAGTAGTTGAGCGTGTCGATCGCTTCACTTATCTCGGAAGTCTCATCAGCGCTTGTGGTTTGGTGTGTGACGAAATCTCAGCACGGATACAAAAGGCTCGACTAGCTTTTGCCAACTTGCGTCATTTGTGGCGTAGGCGAGATATCCGTCTATCAACCAAAGGACGTGTTTACTGCGCAGCAGTTCGTTCCGTCCTACTTTATGGCAGTGAAACATGGCCAGTAAGAGTAGAGGATATTCGTAGGTTACTAGTATTTGACCATAGGTGTCTTCGAAACATCGCTCGTATATCCTGGGACCACCGAGTAAGTAATGCAGTTGTTATGAAACGGGTACTAGGTAAGGATGGCAAATCAATTGATGAAGTAGTGAAACCTAATCAGTTGAGATGACTGGGACATGTGTTGCGCATGCCCGACCATCGACTGCCCCGACGTGCTATGTTCTATGGTGTAGGAGTAGGTTGGAAGAAAGCTAGGGGCGGCCAGACCAAAACATGGCAGAAATCCATGAAGTCACTGACAAGTGGACTGAGTCATGTTGGTATGTGTAGACTACCTGGTTGGGGACCACGAGACGCTAGCAACCGATGGTTAGAGACCTTGAATGACATGGCTCAAAATCGTTTGCAATGGCGCAGGTGCATCCACTCTTTGTGTTCTCTCAAACTCTAATCTTCTGAATTCTTCGTGTCCTTTATTTTCTTTCCCAATTTATTCCACTGGACTATACTCCTTTCATAACATCATCAAACCTTAATGTCCCCTATCTCTACTTATATTTCAGTACCTCTACCACTATGGGATTTGAATTGATAACTGAATCTCTGTGCTAATGTGATATGGCAACTCGAACTGATATACGTACGTACGAAGTTCCACGTTGTTACTGACTGACTGACTTGATAATGTGGGAAGGTGATTAGTTGTCATATGCCATATTCCACAACAACTGAATTCAAAGTAAGACATTAACGCCGTTAGATGCCGTCTTATGCAGAGATGACACCGGTAAATTGTGTACGAATAAATAAGTATAGTAAACTATGAATGCAACAGGTAACTGTGTTTCAACTCAGACACTTTTAAAACGGTAACATCGATCAACGTTAGTTTGGATCTAGGTGTTATCGAGTTATTTACTATGATCAGTTTTCAAACAGTACTAAATAATCGGATAAAAATATGAACAACAAATGAATGATAGTCATGCACAGACTGAAACAAACTTACAGGCTCTGTAGATCCATCGTTATATTCTCGATTAATGTAGAGTCGCGGGACATCATTACCAACACGATGAATCATAGCACAGAATGGCAATACAGTTAACGAGGTACCCATTATGATGAGTAAATCACAATTATTGAGATCCTTAGTTTAATAGAAATTGAATTATAGAGTTAGATCCAAAATAAAAATCTACAATTGGCATTAACCGAGGTCAACTTTAAATCTATTACATAATCTTTTGTACATAAGCATAATTTATGAAAGCAAGATGCTTCGAACTTAACTGTCACCAACCTTGACATAAAAAGAGGTTACAAAATAATTTGATGGATAGTTGATACGCTGGGTCAATCAGTTTAGGGTCGAACGATAGCTGAGAGATGTTGACAGCTGCACACTACTGTTCGAGGTTTGACCTGATTCTTTAAGAGATACGGATAAATTTTAGTGGTTGAAATCTAGATCATTTAATCAGATGACAAATGTCTGGGCATAAGTTTGGTAAACTGATAAAACTCCTTGTTCATTTTATGTCTTCATACATAAGTGGCAAGTTCGGTTGGCAATGACGTAAGTAACACTCCGTTATTAGGAAATGAGGTTACACTCAGGTAAAAATCAAAGCTATAGTGCTGAAGTATGAACAGAAGTGTGTCTAGGAGTACAATAATTTTAGGACCGACTATTACTTTACCTCAGTGGAAGATAACCTAATATTACTAACACTCTGAACATGACATAGGAGGAAAAATAAAACTAACAACTTGATGAACACTAAGCAATTGTTACCTTGAAGTGCCTAAAATATGTTTCTCATTACAGTAAAAACTATTAATTTAAAACAAAAGGTCGGTTGGATAAAATTAAATGATGCGACGAGAAGACAATGTTTATTAGAACTATGTGGAATATTAGTACGATACCTTTTAAAGGCTAACGAATGCCCTGATACGGCCGAGAGTGGGAAGAGTCTGTTCTCCCTCGCGAAATGCTCTGACATGGCCACGTGCATACCGCCACTACCAGGGAAGTCCGATTCATTGCCTTCTTGTGGCGATGTTTCTTTCGAAATTGAGAGGACGAAAAGCGAATGTCCAGCGCTTTAACCAGGTTGGTGGGTATGGAAGATTCATCCAGGGGAGTTGGAAAACTCTGATTCTAAATCAATGGTGCATATGAGCTCCAGTATCCTGAAGGAATAGATGGAGTATGAGACAATCGTTGCTCACCGGTCATCATGGAACTGCAACTCCTGACGCTGTCCTGTGGATCAGAACTTTAGGTCACAGGCTTCGGGTGTGGCCGCTTAAGGAAACCACTTGCCTCTGTTTGGGCACCCAGGCAGTATAACAGCCCACACCCAAATCAAGTGACTTGTGTGACGCATATGCATCTGGTGCCCCTTTGTACCAGTGTGTGTTTAAGTAAATACCTTTTGAACAATCTGATTTCATACTAAACATTACGTTGTTCATTAGAAGAGCACCAAACTAAACCAATGGGGAAATGAAGACAACATAGATAATATTATATTATTTATTTATTTTAACACATAAGTATAGGTACAGGGAGGCACCAAATACATATGCGCCACGCGAATCTCAATTGATTTGTGTGAAGGCTGTGATACTGCCCTTAACTTACTTATGTAAACATAGATAATAAGAAAAAATACATCACACCATTCTGGATGTTAAATTTAAAGGTGATATTAAAAAGGCTCTAAGTAAAAACAAAATATCTCGGAAACAAAAAGGAGTCTTTGTACAGCTAAGGTCAGAATAAACCTTGGTATTTGTCCTAAATCATTTTTACACAACACGATAAAAGCTGATTTGAACTCAATCATCTGACCCGTTTTAACCAAATGTTTGATAATGTGGGAAAGGTGATTAGTTGTCATATGCCATATTCCACAACAACTGAATTCAAAGTAAGACATTAACGCCGTTAGATGCCGGCTCAGTTGTCTAGAGGTTTATCGTTCGCGCGCGAGACCGATAGGTCCTGAGTTTGAATCCTGAGGAGCGGGATCGCGGATGCGCACTGGTGAGGAGCCCCATACTAGGACGAGACGGCTATCCAGTGCTTCCAGGTTTGTCATGCTGGTCTAGCTTCAATTGGCTCATGAATTCATTCGTTAAATCATATAAATGTCTAGGACTCACCGAAGAAAGATTCTTGAAAAATTTCTTAGGCATACTTTCACCAAAAAGTACAACATCTGTAAATGATTTAATTGGAAGTAAGTAATTACCAGGTTTGACAACATCTTTGCATTCAAGACACTTAGGCACTTTTTTGGCTAAAATTTCATCTACAAACAGAAAGAAATGTCATTTACTCTAAATAATAAATACTTAGCATGAATTCGAAATCATGCAGTTTATTGCACTTAATACAGTGTCCGGTGTGAAATGTTCCGTGAGCTTCGATCAATTTCTCCTCTGGTAAGCCAGATAAGCGTTCCAAACTATCAACATTCTACGAGGTTAAAAGCTGGGGGATAATATTTTACATTACCTGTGTATAGTGTCTAAGAAGTAAGCCTTTTTCATGAAGTAACCTGATAAAACAATGAGCCAACGTAGGCTAAATTTTAATATTATGTAATGCGTAGCACGTGCCTTTGCTTCTGGTCGATACAAACGCCTTGCAATCTCAAAGAAAGGTCTGGGATTGTGCTGGAAAAGAAAGAGAAGCTTTACGACACTAGAAACACACCTACTCGAAAGTAATCAATTGAGAATATTGTGTTAGGAGTGGGCAAGTTAAACTCTTCCAAGTTGTCGTATATGCCACAAGATGGACTTCGAAAATCAGGTATTCCAGCAGCTTTATTTTTTAGAAAGAAATACATGGGTTATAAAACAATGCTCATAAAATTTTGATGGTAAAACAATTAACTGTTGAGAGAAAGAAATGAAGATGACATCAAGCGGAGAGTCTAAGTTAATATAGGTGCCCAATCTTTCTAATTTGGAGGACTTTGGGTAAGTTCTGGGGTTTTCACCAAATTGCTAGCTTTCCCCAAACTTTGGGGTTTTCCCCAGACCTAGGGAAACTTTGGTGTGTGTGTGTGTGTGCAAGTTTTCCAAAGTTTTCTATAGCGGTTTCCCTAAAACGGACAAAAATTTCACAAAAATAGCGGGAATGGGTGTATATCCAAACGACTAGCAATCTGTGATTGATATACCTGTAAATACATTATGAGTTCAGAATATTTGTATTGTTATATACTCCACTATCGTTTGAATTCGAATTAATAGCTAGAACCTTAAATCTCTGCTCAACATTATCTACTCAGTGGTTTCACTTGCCTGGGAAACCTATCAGGGTATTTCACAGTAACATATCTAAGCACGACCCACGGATACCATAGTGACGCAACTCTTAATCCAGCAAACAACAGAGAAGAAAATATTACCTGTTGACACGCCAGCACCCACCATAGTTATTATTTTGTTGACTTGACCATCCTGAATTAATTGTGTCACACCTAACAGACGTTAAAACAGTTTAATTTACCCTCTATATTGAGAGACTTAAGTTCTGGTTGAGGCGTATCATTTCCAAACAGTGCTTTTTTAATCCCCAAAAAGTCGAAAGACATGACGACGTCAGACCCTTTCGAAGCTGCCCGCCGTTTAGTCTCAACGACCTTGAGAGCCGGAAAACAGGCGGTTAGTCCGTAGATCAATTACCGTGGGTTTGTTGCATAAGTAATAAGTTTTCTCCTAAATAAGTCATCAACACCACTCAAACATGTCCCTTTTTGGAAAGTTTGTCGCGTAAGACCTTTTAATTGCAAGTTGACAAGTTCAAACACTTTTGTAGGCCCTTTCAGTAGCATCTTGTTACAATTCATCCATTTGATATCTTCATACAATAACCGATTCAGTATGACTTTGGCCTTCCTCTTGTCAATTTCCCTTTAGGATTGCGAGTTAGTGAATGCCTCGCCATGTAGTTTGGTGATTTCCACAAACTATGTAAAATCCACTTTCAACATCTTTTCCAAATATCCTCTTCGGCTGGAAGCTGGTTTGTCCTCTCCTACAGTAGGCTCTTGCTGATGGTATTCGGACAAGGGACATTGAGTAACTTACGCAGACGATTGTTCATGAATACTTGCACAATTTTAATGATGGTTGTATGAGTTCTCCAAGTTTTAGCTCCTTACATTAGGACTGTCTTGACGTTCATATTGAATATTCTGATTTAGTGATGTGTCTTTCTGTAGGGGACGTGGAGCATCTTTTCAGACACTTCAATGTCTGACGTTAGTGCTTCAACTGGTATGTTTTCCGGTCCTTCTGCCTTTCCACTATTGACTTTTCTGATGACCATCCTTATTTCTTCGATCGTTGGTGGAATGACATCTATCGGAAGGTCTCTGTGTGCTGCTTAGCTGTCCGGTGGGTCCAGTGGAGCTGGTCTATTAAAGAGCTCTTCAAAATGCTCTACTCACCTGTACCGCTGTTCTTGAATCTCAGTGATTGGCTTGCCTTCCTTGTCTTTGACTGATCTCTCTGGTTTACTATATTTTCCTGTTAGTTTCTTCGTTATATCATATAGTTGTTTGATATTTCCTTCTCTTGCCGCTTTTTGCGCTGTCGCTGCCAGGTCTTCCACGTATTTCCGCCTGTCGGCTCTAATGCTCCTCTTCACTCTCTCGTTTGCCTCTGTGTATTCAATGTGTGCCTTGACTTTCACTGTTCTTGTTCGACTGTTTTTGATTATTGTTTTGTTCTTCCTTGCTTGAATCCTACCCAGCGTTTCAATGGAGATCTATTCCTCGAGATGTTGCTCCTTGCGTCCCAGACCTTCCTGACATGTTGGAGCTAGTGGCTCTTTGATCCCTTTCCATCTGTCCTTTATAGTAGTTTCTTCTTCATCGAGTAGATCTGTAGAATTATGGTCTAGTTCGGTAATAGTACATTTATCTTTGTGACTGTTATAGTGGACCTAATCCCGAAATCGTAGATTTGACATAACGTTCTCAAAATCTCTCATCTTTGAAAAGAAGTCAGTGATAGTCCATACAAGTTATTTTGCGCAACCCTGAATCTGAGGATCAAATAGATGGCAACAGGCAAGGAAGCATTAACATGTGACTTTGCACATAAATGTTGTCGATCTAAACTCTTAAAACCAAACTAGCTAGACGAAGGTGCCAATAATGACACAGATTGGCTTAAGCTGCTTTGGGTTTTTCTATACATGAGTTGGTCTCATCACTCAAACTATAATCAGCTACTCAGATACACGGAGTTCTCGATTATTTCTATCCGCTCACTACACATGGTGAGTACAGGATCAGCGTCCTAGCACTATTGTAAGGGCACTTTATTCTTCACAGGTGCAAAGCACCTTCCGTAACAAAGGACATTGACCAAGTGTAGATTACATGACTTGGTCATAACTGCACAGCTAGATGACATCATCCACACCCTCAAGGTCGAAAATTCTTTCTCCAGACAACAGATCTACCATTAGAGCTGTTTTCAGCACCTCATCGATGGCTAAGCTGAGGAGGAATAGTGAGATTGCTTATCCCTATCCAACACCACCGCTTGAGTAGAACAATGAAGAAAAGTGGTTATATGCCCTTATTCTGCCCAAAACGTCAGGATATACCCTTCTTCAATAGACAATCCCAGAGAACAGTTCTGTTGAACGAATAAAAGACCATCCTAGTGGCAAGAAACATTACGCTTGTTGATCAGTATGATGAAAGGTAGTAATTTGGAGTCAGTTGAAAATAGATTTAACCCCTGTGAGTTGTTGCGGATAAAATGTGAACCCTTTCAAAGGCATGAAAAACTAACGACTCACTCCATAGTGTTCAGACACTAATTACCAGTCTTTTGTAAATAACTCAGTCAGCTCCACAACCAGAAAGCCACCATCATATTTAAAAAGGGTCGAAGGTAAGTCATATGGGTCTGGTGATGTGTAGCGCTTCAAGATTTGGAGTCCCTTGCAGACTTCCACCTCATTAGATGAATCAGTCGTAACAAGCCTTGAAGAGCAGAACAACCTGATCGATGTTACTGCGGCACAAGATCAGTTAAATTGCTCCTTAAAAACTCTACACACCATCAAATACGACAACTGATACTAGTGATTGGCATCTTATTACAACCGGTTGTTTCGCTTACATCAGGCTTCTTGCTGCCAGTGACCCGAATGGGTTTAAAGTTTCCAGAGGCAGTTACTGCATCCAATTCGTTGGCACACTCCAACCAACAGGTTTCTCGGAGCTTATGCAAGCCCTGCCCAACTACACTTCGTAGCAATACCCGCCAATAGTTAAAGTTGCGATCATCAGCGTAATAGTGAATTGTAAGGAGCTTGGAGAAACTTAGTTCCTATATGCACGACGTCTCACAAAGCCACAAGCGACTTTACTCGCCATTTTCATGCCGTAATTCAGTCGCAACCAATGCTTATCCAGTTTTCAGTTGGATGGTAGCTAGTCTTGAACCTAACTCAGTAAGATATTTAGTTTCAACAGAAGCTTCAACCGTTCAGGGCTATGAACTTGTTGGCCTATGGAACATAAGGTGAGATTATCACAAACAAAAACACACAGTCCAGAAAAGTATTCAAGAAAACACCAGTCTTGCGTAAAACCACAACAACGTCAGCTGGTCGCCATGTGATCAATCTAAGTCCAGGTTTGAGATGAAGAGGGAGGATACCAAGAGGTACAAAGGCGATGACTGTTGGTAGTTAGTGCTAGCCAGAAACAGATTACAGTTTGCTCAGAGTTGCAGTAGACGGTCACTGTTATAATAATAATAATTTATTCTCAAATAACATTTTGTTACATGAGTCATGCCAGTTTACAGGCAAGATCTAGCATGCGACCATAAATTTCTCATCGGCCACTTAAATGACCGACCTATGTGTTCAGGTCTCCGGCTAGTACCACAAAGACTGTCAAATCCACTCTCTACAAAACAGTTAACTGCTGGCCATGAACATCTGGGCTGCGATATGTCGGTGATGACGAATAGACATCGTTTGTCGCACCGATTTATTCGAACTTTGATGGAGCTGTTGAATCTAACAGCACGTAACCGACTGTCAATGAGAATATGAACGATCAGTGATGCCCAAAATCTAGTGCTTATTGCGACACCAACGTCAGGAAAACCAGGCGACGATACCATAGAGTCCTCGGATAAACGCACGTGAAACAAGCTTTTCCAAACGACAGATGGAGAGCGAATTTGTAGTGTTTTACTAATCTTGAATACAGGTCTCGGATAAACAGCAGACGTCCATACTAAAACTTCGTAAAGATAGCCAATCCCATCCGTTGTCCGATCTGCATTTGTGTACGAACGTTGATGAATACCAGCTTATATGCGCTATAACACGGGTGCCCGTGACCGAAGTAGGTTGTTTGCATGGGCCACATCCCGAGCCTTTAACCTAAAGGTACAAACCACAAAACAGTGAACAACTTTGGTAGATGCAACCCCACGTTAGCGAGTGACCAACAGTAGACTTCTTCACTGCCTCTGTCTCTAGAATCAGTGTTGTTCAACTCCTATGGGTGGGCCCACTGTGTCCACCAACCCGTTTAAAACGCCGAACAATCGCTATTTGTCCTTTAAATTAAGCTAACACACCCGTCACGTAAAAGCACCGAGTGAGACTTCTATAACAGTGAATTTATACTCAAGAACACGTGAGGGTTCCCGGGAGAAATAATGAAGCAAACTGCATGCATATAGCATAAGCCTCTTTGAAACCCAGCACACAACAACGGCGTCATCGCCATTGGTAGCAGTAGAAGCACCTACGGTCTAACCACATTAGAGAATAAACCGTTCGCGGCGTGTAAGGGTGACCGAATCTAATAACTAAAGATTAAGTTTGAGAGTAGATACGGTTTAAATTTCATCAATTGTAATTAAGCTAACCCTGTTGGTAGAGAAATCACAGCAACGCACTAATATATTTTCTGATAATAAAAAAGAAGATCTATGATATAGGTAAAATCGGTTAGAAAACAACTTGAACACATTTACGAACGGCCGACCAAAGCAAATAAAAAAGGTACAAAATTGGAGGACTATACATAAACGGAGCAGAACGTTCACTAGAATTAATCTACACAATTCAAGATAATACGTCAAATTGTAAGAAGTCCAATTCATGTTTTAACAAGTGAGGACGGAAATTCCAGAAGTGATCTTCTTTTAGGTTCAGTCGGGATCCCATAAACAATGACTGATTTTCCAACAAGATGCTTTAGTTTACAAGCAGATGTTGCGTTAAAAATAGACTGTCCTAAAGTTCCTCGTGGTTTTGGATCATGTCCATCATCAGAACCATCTTTTCCCAGCCAATTAGTCAGGAATTTCAAAGTAAATCTATCAACGTCTCGATCAGTAACATCCCATAACAACCCACAAACGAAGGGACTATAAGAGAAAAAAAAGACGTAGATTTACTAGTTATAAAGATGATAAGATATCGTTAAAACAAGATTTATATACTGTTATAGAAATAAAACAAACTCATCAGTCTGAATATATTGAGCTGGAGAAAAGTGATTTACTGTTCTACCCATAAAGGCAGTACAAAGGTATGTTACACTTGAATACTACTTACTCATTCAATGATATATGAAATAGTTTACATAAAATAAAATGGCAAGCTAGACTAATTAGTTTCACGTATAATACAAAATGCGATTCACATACCATCCAGCAATAAGATGATTAAATATTGAAGTATAAGGTTCATGTCGTCCAACACTACGAGGTTTACCGGAACTACAGCCAAGAATCAAGGCAACGGAGCGTGCATTGAGACCTTGATTAAAAGTGTGTAGTAGAAATTGTGAACCGTTCCCATGACCCAAAAATCTGTAAGTAAAAAGTGTGCACGTAAGTAATTAGACAGCTGCTGAAATATATTGATAAAGGATAGATAAAAAAACGATAAGCAGAATATGTGAGTGAATTTGTAAGTGTCGACGAAACTACGAAGACAAATGTTTTCTTTGTTTAACGAGAATAATTAACATACACATCCTTTTCATGGAGAAAATAAGTTTAATGAAAGAACACTATAAAAGGCACTTTCAAACGTACATTAGAAGATCATGATTTGTGAAACCATTGTTCACCTCCTCTATAGTTGGAATCCTTCCAATGACACCCGTCCAACTGGATAGGTTGCGGAATAACGGCTCAAAGGTTTGTTGAGTAGAGGGTAGGTTGGATTCTGGGTTAAGGACATAAAATGCACGCTCAGGATTAAAAGAACATAATTTCATATGCTCATCATTGGGAGAAATGTTAGCCACGATATTCTGACAAGGCATATACTGAGTTGCCAAGTGACCAACAACTAAAGGTAAGCTGAAGCTGCGAGTCATTGTTGGGATACATGAAGCTGGATTACGATCCCATAGTATCCATTCCCAAGGTAAATAAACTAGTCGCTAGGGTGAAACGACAAGATATGAAAAATGAAAAGGATAACATCATGTGATCAAAAAACAAACGTCTTGTAAATTATTTGTATTAAACTAGGAAAGCATCATCTCAAAACTAAAAAAACGACAGACGTAATCTAAACTGGTCAAAGGGGCTTGTGCGATTCCATCTATTAAACAGGAAATTGAATCTCTGGACTAACCTTGATACCCAAATCTAACTGAACTGTTATGAACTGAAATCTCTCCGCTACGCAGTTTCAAACAACAGTTCATGAAAGCTTAGGTACTTGATGGATTCTAATCAACATTTATGATAGGATACCTATTGTATTGATTGATATGTGATACTAAAAACATTTAGTGTAATAACCTTCACAAGTTAGGTCGTAATTAAAATTTATTGATATATTCTTACTACAGACTGGATAAAAATACAATAAATGTCCCTCCTCTGAGAGAATATTACTTAAAGACAATATGTTTTTTGACTTTATGAAGTAATAATTAACTATGCTATACGTTGCCACAACTATTATCATTGTTGGTAGTAAGTTTTGTTAAGCATCATTAAAGTAACGACTGTTATCTATGGTTAAATGGTGCGTGACTGATTTTTGCTGTGAGAGCAGCTAAAAAACACTCAACAAATCACCAAATAGCATAAAAATCGTCCTTGTCGTCAAAAGCTTTCATTTTTGAATTTTGTATGGGTATAATCTAAATCTCACTTGGATAGTAAATATTTAACCAAACCTATGATATGAATCATGGACGTACGTTAGTTTTCGGAAGCAAATATGTTAAATTCAAGTGTAAATAATTGACGCCTATCTAGCAAACGTGACGTACAACTAAGTCCAAATTTACAGAGGTTCGACTGTACAATGGATAATCATCCTAGTCTTGTTATAGTAAGAATAGTAATAAAAGATAAACATCGTACATCTTAGTTGGTTATTGGGATAACAATTGCATGAATTTCCTTAGTTCTTGTCTCATTCATCCTGTGAACATCAGAAATGTAAAACAAGTGCAGTCACTGAAGTTATTCAACAAAATTACTTTCACCAGTTGCCTGGAAACTTTAGATTTTTACGCAAAGTCAATGCGTCTCGTCAAAGAACTCTTTCACACATATGAAGATTGAAATAAACAGGTGAGGACAAGAGAGCAGTTTCGAAAGTCTGCACATCCAAATATAATATAAACGACATGCAAGCAGTTATTTATTCATAACCGAAAAGCTAATTTAATTCCCAAATAATAAAGCAAATAGAAGTACAAAGCCAGAAATGCTACGTGTGTCTTTGCATGTACACTTAATATAAGTAGACCCCAAACAGAAAACCAAGTAAATATCAATGCTATTTTATTTAACTACACAGAAAATATTCCAAAAAATCAATACATAGTTGAGTTTGCTTGGAAAGCTAGTGTTAAACTTACTCGATCCGGAATAATAACTACAGAAGGAGGGCTATAGTCATTTTTGATTTCATTATTACGACAATATTTGTCTCGACTGAATAACCAATCCAGATCATCTTTAGTAAACCATTCACGACGTATTTCAGTAAGTAAATTCTACAAAATTATTCCAAAGAACTTAAAATTAATGCTGGGATAAAATTTAAAATTGTTTATGAAGAGACTAATTTGTCGGACTTAGAAAACTAAGAAGAATTATATGGGTGAATTAAATCACATATCACCACACAAGTAATACATGTGAAGATATATCATGAAGTATATTAAAAAGCATTATTCGAAAACAAAACGCTTAAAAAATGAATTGACCATATAAATCTTTTGGTTTTAGAAACCTATCGATCTATTTAAACATTAATTTTAAATTATAGATACCGAAGAACATAAGTGAAAACTTATTCGAATTATTCAAAATACAGAAATTGTGTTCTAACATATGTTAAGCTAACAATCCTTGGAACATAGGTTGAAAGGATTTACATAGGTAGCCAAGTTGTGGTAAAATATAATTGATGAGAGAAATGATATTTCGAGAGTAAACATGTCAGCTATTTCAGCAAGGTTGAAATCATTTATTGTATTGAATTTGTAGTTTTGGTAGTATACTGGCATTCGATGTTCTGTTATTTTGACCAGTATCAGTTAATAGAGTGGCCAAATAAAAATGTGTTTGCATTTATGATAACAATTCAGTTAAATTACAAAATTACGAGTATTGATGGAGATGGTCAAACTTTTATATACCAATACTCGAATTGGATCGAAATCAGAACTACTGGTCAATAGAGTAGGTAATTGGAAGTATGTTGAGATAATAACCATATTCTTGACATAGAATAGCATGACTATAATTAACCAGTAAGTTAATAAATGAATAATCACATATGAAAATTAAGGTCACAAAACAATCAATGATTAATCACCTATGTTTGTAGTATCATTAATTGTAATATCGAGAACTATTTCGTTTGCACATTCCGAAAATAGCCAATGTGTTAGTTTATAAGAAAGGCACATTGTAGATAAGCCAAACTGCAAACAATGTAGTAAACCTTAAACAGTCAGTCAGTTACAACGTAGGACCAGGCGCATATGTGCATCGGTACAAGTTGCCATACCTCATATTTGGTGCACCCTTGTACCAGTATTTATGTGTTCAAAAAAATAAATAAAATCATCAACTGATTTACCATAATTCCCAAATACCCTACAACCAATCTCATTATTACTTACCTGGTGATCTTAGCAGATGCAAGCAGTATTCCTAAGACTTCTGAAATCAAATATTATTAAACTACGAGTATCCTCTACCCTTAATGGCCAAGTTTCGCAGCCGTAAAGTAGAACAAAACGAACTGCTGTGCAGTATACTCGTCCCTTAATTGATAGACGGATATCTCGCCTTCGCCATAGGCGACGTAAGTTGGTAAAAACCAAACGACCTTTCCGAATCCTTGCTGAGATTTCGTCAGACACCAACCCACTAGGGCTGATCAGACTTCCAGGATAAGTGAAGTTGTCAATGCATTCGACCACTTTAATCCCTATCCTTAGTTCAGGTGTTGAGACAGGCCATTCCCGAGGCAACAATTTGCATTTAGAGGGAGAGAAGCGCATCCCAAACATCCTGGCATTGTTGCTCAGTGCTACCAAAACACTGCATTTTATCAGCGTCTTCACCAAACAGGACTATGTCATTTGCGTATTCCAAGTCGATAAGTAGACCTCCTGGAAGGAGCTCAATACCCAAGAATTCAGTCGATGAGAGCATTATTTCCATCAGTAGGTCTATGATGAAGTTAAATAAAAATGGAGAAAGTGGACAGCCTTGACGGACACCACTTGAGGTTGCGAGAACAGATGACAGTTCGCCATAAGCTCTCACTCGACTAGTAGTGTTCGAGTAAAGAGCCTTCACAAGGTTTATGTACTTCTGAGGTACGCCTTTCCATGACAGACACTGCCACAGAATCTCGTGGTCTACGTCGAGAAAGACCACCATTGTCGGACGCCGATAAGCATGTCTGTGTTCTAGAACTTGACGAATAGTGAATATGTGGTCGATGCAGCCCCGACCAGTTGTAAAGCCAGACTGATTTTCTCGTGTTTTTAGTTCACGAGTCTTAGTTAGACGCCCGGTAATTATTGACGCTAGTATTTTGGATGCTATGTTAGTCGAACTAATACCTCCATGGTTGTCACGGGATGATTTTGACCCTCTCTTATATATTGGGACAATCAGTGATTGTGGCTAGTTAGATGGGATTAGGTCCAACTCCCATATTTTAGCTAAAATATTAGTCAACCTAATAGCTGAAATCGGACCATCATCCTTAATACTTCTGGAGGTAGTCCATTTGCACCAGCTGCCCTATCTCGTTTTAGATTAGCTATGGCCTTATGAACTACCTACAGTCACCGCCTTTTCCACCTCTTTTGCTTTCAATGCCCACCACTGCTCACGATCATTCCTTAGACTTTTGCTTAATCTAGATCTGATTTCTTTACGCTCTTCATCGAGTTCAGAGCCTGATGGGATGAGTTTACGAGAATCCATCAGTGCAATAGGCCTAGAAGAAATTCATTGGTTTTTTGTAACCCTTTGGTTTAAATCACTAATAGATGTCACTGCTGTTTCCACAACTGCTTGTATAACTTTCCAAGCAACATCTGGGTCAGCCTTGTTTTCAGAACTAAGTGCGGCCTCAGTTATTCCTGGAATCTACTTTCGTCTTTCTCATCACTTAATGCAATTGTAATGGGTCGTTTTGGTGTGCCTTTCCTGAGTCCAATGAGGGGCCAACAGACACGTACCCGTACAAGAGCACAATCGGAGTCCAGACAGGTATTTCAGAACGAGCGACAATCTTCTACCGACCCTCTCCAACGATGACTGATGGCAATATCATCTATTTGAGTCAATCGTTGGTTTGGTGCAGAGGGCCGCCATGTTAAACGATGTCTCTCCTTATGTTTAAAATAAGTGTTTGCTAAAAATAAACGATTGTCTGAGCATAGTTGCAGCAGACGATCACCATTATCTTTTCGCTGAGTCAGAATACCAAAATACCCACCTAGATTTCTTTCTGTTTGGTTTAAGCTACATACTTGTGTATTGAAGTCACCTACTACAAGTACTATATCTGAGCGTTTAGCTTTCTGAACTTCTTCAGAAAGCTTTCTGCGAAAGTCACAATTAACTTTACCCGAGCTGCAGTCAGTGGGAACGTAGGCAGAAACGACGTGTGAACCTGTCATTTGGAGTTCTTACGCAGCCGTTAAGCCAAACAGCGCATAGACGACTGTTAACGGGGATCCATCCTAATAGTGCTTGTTCTGCCCTTGTACTTAATGCTATGCCTACACCTGCCAGTTCACGAGAAATAACCATTGGGTTGCCAGATACACGGAAGGTATATCTCGTCGGCTCTCCGTCTTGCCGAGGTGAGGCCAAGTGAATGACCACACTAGGATCCTTTGTGTGTCTCGGAGACACATCATACATCAATCGTATGAGATTCGAGAGCCTCAGCCAAGGACGCCTGCTGGCCGATTTGACATAGGGTGCGTACGTTGAAGGCTCCAGTGTGTAGTTTAGAGCTAGGTTTCAATAGACTTGGGACAGTGTTTTGCTCAATAAAATCGTTAGCTATGGTGACCCTTGAGGAGGAAGCCAAAAGAGGAAGTTTAGTGTTGAAAGTCGACGTAGGAGGAATAATAGAGACTGAAGAAAGAGGCTGTTTATAAATATAGTAGTCTTGAGTGCTGTTAGAGATGTGAGGGCGGTTATTAATTCCCGGTTGCACACACCGTGGAAGGGTTCTTCTGGAGGTACTTGAAAAGGAAATTGGGTTAGAGGTAGTCTTAATGACCTGAGAGCGTGACCGCAGTGTCTAAGGGACAACTGCTTGTGGTCGGTCACACACGACATTTTTATGAGTAATTTTCGTGTTAGCTAAATCAATAAGCTTTAAAAAAGCTATCGTATTCGCACATAAAATAAGGGAATGCACATGCAATACACGCCATGAAAAATATGTCATACTTCTAGTCGTTCATTCAAGTTATAACGTGTACGCCAGTAATTAGCACGATCTTCAATAGCCATTGAATCAAGACTCTCCGTCTGAATTTCATCAAAACTATCCATATATTTAAAACCCTGTGGGAAAGATAAACATGAAAAGATTGATTTAAAATAAGTTTTATTTAAATTGCAGATAAGATACAGTTATTTAAAAAAGAACAATGTTTCACCTGAAGAAAAGTAACGAAAATATATGTTTTCATATTCAATTTTTAAAATGTTGTTTGAGTGAACAATTACATTCCATTTAAATATATTTTCACCTTCTTATTTTTAATTACTTCACATGATTTAATCTTGATACATACAAACATTTTCCACCATTTTTAAACAATGGATTATCCACTTGTTTCATCATATGTATATTTAAGCTAAATAACTATAAATACTATTGCCCAGCTTTAAGAATAACGCTGTATAAAATAAAATTACATTCATAAATTATTTTAATATAATATCCCACCAAGTTAGGATGATGGCATTAGTTACTGTAGAATATTGTAAAAACAAAGTAACCTTTGTGCTAGCAAACGGAGTTTATCTACAGCTAGTTAAAAAATTGGTACTTATTGATCTACATAATCATACGGTAATATCGGATACACAGATGAAAAATGATAATGCCTACAACCAATAAAGTTAATGAAAATTCTGAAATGAATTATAAAGTATAACAGTTATGTATATATATATATATATATATATATATATATCACAAAAAATATCAGCAGCAAATCATAATAATAATCCTAATTGATTTAGCATACAGTCAGCTTAAACAACTGGTAAAATACGTAGATACCGTCATGAAGGAAAGATATGATAAATCACACTAAACAAGCTATAAATGTTTGATATTGTATTGAAGAACGTAGAAAACTTGAATCTAGATGCCTAACATCTGTAGACTGGAAGACCTACATAAACATGGAATGCATGAAAATACAATTAATGACTAACTACGTGACAATTTTCCTAAAATAATTCATCACAACAAACGAAAGCACGGATTCACTGAATTATTTTGGTGCACACAATTCACAAGATTGTTTGTCAGCAGTACGTTGCGAAACGTGGCCTTGAAGTTGTCAGACACAGTGAAAGGTTTCAGTGCGACAAAATAACGGAGTTGGCAGAACATTCCGAAGGACGCAAATAGACGATTGAGTGCTACGTATATGTATTATGTAAATAATTCGTAACTACTCGCAATATATATAAATTCTTTCTGCCTATTGCCTTCTTTTACATTATTATTGAGGATGGAGCCCCGAAATTCAAACCAAACAACAGCAGAGCAATGAAAGTGAAAGTCTATTGAATGTTACATCACGACTTAACTTATCTACAGTAACAATGTTCTTAAATTTATTAAATCAATTAAGTGCTAAAGTTAGAAACGAAACTTTTGATTCACATTTTCAGTTGTCTATAATACAAAGCACTGAGACCAAACTCTAAAAATTTTAAAATATCATCCATAGATCAAACTTTAGGACACCGTGGTCAGTGACCACCATGACAGCGAACCAACCGAAGTTTCTCAACTATCTCGTGGATAAAAATTCAGGTAAAAAATTCGGGAGTGATCGCCTAGGAAAACCCTCAGTTTCTGCTGAGACATTATTACAGTTTTTAAACTCCAACATGAGTACTAATGATTAGTAATAAAGAAAACGACGAATGTATGTGGATTCATAATATTACATAGTGCGATAGGTAGTAATGAGGGATAATGTTTAGGAGGATGATATGGTGTTTAAGAAACTAAAGTCTATATCAATAGCTGATTTTGGTGATAAGAAATCAGCCAAAATTTTAGATTTACGAAATAATATTTGAATAACAGTCCTCAAACCAATGAAATTAGCTGTTACAATTATTCTCTATAAAGTCTATATAGATTATTAAAAACGTTAGTAGTTGTAATTGTTTTAAAACACTACTTAGTTACAAAAACGATTTCTATATATTGGTGTAGTCGAATCTTCAGTCAATGAAGACAAAAAATTGGTAAACTTGTTATTATCATTGAACGATTTCAATTTCATTTGAACTAAGTTAACAAGTTAAAATATTATGCTATTCTCATTGAGGTAGTAATAATTTTAATCACAGATGTCATGCTAGTAATACGTGTAGTGTAGTATAGAAAGGAGCAGCATTGTACAATTTAAATTTTCTTTTTTATAAACTTACAGAATGAGTGAATCCATGCATAACACGTGTCTCCACTTCAAATGTTTTTAAAGATTGACCAGAAACACCTATATAACGCGATACTAGTAAGTAACCTCCGGAACGAGCACCGAGTCCATATGGAGAAATAGTGTGATGGTAAATATCATCACTTCTATCAATTAAATTAGAAGACTTGCAACTGAGTTCATCAACAAGACAGAGTTGAATAACTCGAATTGTAAGTGAACTGTTATCGTCAGAAGTAGGCATCTGAATAACATTTTTCATTAGAAAATTATTAGGAGCACAAACAGTCATCACTTGATTCAAAATAGGGAACCAGTTATATTTTTTGTTGCGATCAGAATCTTGAGAATCAGATGACTTCAAATGACTGGTATAAAAAATATAGATGAGTAAGTGACCAAAACATAAGAATCTAATTAGCGGCAAACAAATAATATACGAATACACATATAAGGTATATATTAATTTCATGATAATGAATATATATTAAGCAAAAGAAATCTGAAAAAACTCGGAAGAAGTTGAAACAGTCAATGGAATTCTGAGAAGTACACAAATGAATAACATATTATCCGTGGATAGGCCAAATATAAACTAGAGACAAAATGGACAACTAAATGAATCTATCACGCCAAGCACGTAGATATACGAACGGCAGCATGAGCATCAATGAGAACTATATATATATATATATATATATATATATATATATATATAATATATTTCTTTACTGTCTATATTTTCTCTCGGATGCCCGAAATTGTGTATAAATAATGTATCGACGACAACTTTCGAACATTAGTGGTCACAACAATCTTGACCGGGTGACAGAACTGAATTTCTCTCAACATACATTGACTTATGTAACCACGTATCTTTAATAAATCTCTTTCAAGATTTATAGCTTTAAGCTAAGAATACGAACCCATACTAAGTTAGCATTTGATTGAATACGATGCAAAATCTAAGATAATCTTGGTTTAAAAAAGTGCGAAATGTATCAATCAACAATATGGTTTTTCTTATAACATGTGTATTTTCATGAGATCAAGTGTTAAAATTCGTGTAAAAAAAGCTTACATTATCCGAGAGCTTAAGATAGACAAGTACAAGGTTGTGGGTCCAATACCGATAGCTTGAGATAAAAATCTTCCCGCTTGTAGTTGATCACCTTTTCCTAACCAATAAATACCCAACCATTGGCATATAGGACGTAATAAATTTGGGACTGGAAAGCTAGATAGTTGCTGATAAGCACCATACAAACGTGTAGCCATATTATTAGAAATCTGAATCATCTGATCTGTATTCTCCGATAAAAGAGGATTTTCTTCACATAATGTATTGACCAATTTCGTCTTGATTTGATTAGCAGCCCATTTAGACGCTAACCTGACGCTACGTGGACGCAAAGGAGCATCAATTAAGGTAGAACATGATTCCACTGGGTCTAGAAATATGGTATGGTTTTTGCCCGAGCCTTTATTTTTGTTTTCTCTTTTCCTCAAAACATTCTGTATTTGTCGAATGAAAAGTTTAATGGTGAATACATGATATAACAAATGCAAATTACAAATACTTAAAAACTAATTTCCTTAACAGCTTACGGTGTTCAAAAAATTAAATATGATTTAATCTAAACCATTACTACAAATATAATGAAAATTCGAAGTACATATTCACTGAGTAATAAAAATCCAAAAAGCTAAGTTTATGGACCGGTTAATTGTAGTTAAAATACGACCACGGAATAACGGGAGAAACCAGATGTTTAAATCATATTGGCGCCTGTGTGAGAGAAATGTAATTACAAGAGAGCAGTTATACAATCTATTCCAATTACTGACTATTTACCGGGATTGTCTACATAACACCAATCATACGATGACAGAGAGAAAAAAGCCCAGAGTAATAGTTAAGGCCTAATGGTTCAAAATCCAGTTGTCCAACGCTCACTCACCATATGGCCAGAAAATCTGATAACATACCAAGTAGATAACTACTAAGTATGAGGTTTAAATTTGGGTCCCAGATAGTCTAATCTTTTTTGTCAACGTCCCCCTCTCCTCATTATCGTTATAACGAAGATAAATCGCACTGTCTCCTAGATAATAATAGGCAACAGGATTAATGAAGCCATTACCAAATTACCTTTGTATGTAATCAAACCTAAGTTTAAAACACACATCATGTTTCGCTAAGAAGTCAGTTGTCACTGAACAATTTAACCTAAACATAAGTATACATAATATGCGAATTTTCAGAGACGTTTATTTGATTGTAGCAGTGATAATGGTTTATCAATGAGAAAAAGTAGAATACTACGGTTCACCAGGTGGACTACGTCAACGAAATTAAACCTTCACACTGCTTAAATCTGTACGTATATTAAGAAAATGCAGGAAATAACAATTTCGGGAGAAAAGTGTGGAGTGAAAAGTGGCAATTAGAAACAATCAATTTAGAAAATTTTAGCAATATCAATAAAGTGGAGGTACGCAGGTCAGTCATACTCAATATATGTTAATCCGATTGGCAAAGGAGTTGAAATGACCTTTCAGACCACTAAGAATTAACTAATTCATTTGAATACAAATAGTTCGACTGTTAGAATTAAATGGTTTCAATGTTTATTAAAAAGAAAAAGTATTTAGACTTGGTCTATCCAATAAAACAGGAAATAGCATATATCATGAACTCATTTTGTGTTGCGCTATTCACAGACAGAAAACACAATACGGAAATACTGATATTGTTAGTATGATAAAAAAATGGTTATACGGATTCTGTCAAAAAGGTAAGAACATGAATATTTCCATTCAGAATACTATTATAAAAATCGAAGACAAAAGCTCAACTAGGACAGTAATGGAAATTATGTGTACTAAAATGACAACAAGGATGAAATATAAGAAATACTTTCTAAGTGCAAATACAAAAATATGTGGATTATGGTGAGAAGTTAATCGCTGGTTAAAAATGTCTTAAAGACTGACTTAAAAACATATAACATTATTTTGACGTTGTTTATTTCTATTTTACTGTAATATATCGGCAGGTAATGGATAATATTGAAAGACTATAAAAATACATCACAATACGAATATTTGTGTAGATTGCAGAATTTTTATAGGTTTAAACTAAGGACTGATCTTAGCCAGACCATAGTCGAAAACCTGGAAGCGTTGGATGACCAGTTCGCGCTAGTATGGGACACCACAGCAGTGTGCATCCTCGATGTCACATCCGGAAATCGGACACAGAACCTTCGGTATCGAAGTTAAGACAAAATGAGTAGTTTCAGTTGAAATAAAGCAAAAAAACCAGAACAAAACACCCATTTCATTTCTAAAGTGGATAAAAGTCGGGAACGTTTAAGCATGACTGACATACTGTTTAAACAATTCGAAGTAGAGATAATCAAAAAATACAGACTAGCTTTAAAAGAAGAAATTAAGTGTTTTAAACAATGTCAACTCACTTTATTTTTGGACAAATGGTCATAATATATTTCCAGAGGTTGAGAATCAGCTGGCTTTCGAAAGGTATAACCAAGCAATTGTATCAATATTTCATTGTCTGCTTCATGATTATCTAGAACAATATCTTTATTCGTTAAGTGATTATCACAGAGTCTAGTTTGTATTATGGATTCTATAGGTACCTCATTAATTTCAGTGGTTTTATCAACTTGTTGATAATCTATGGAGAAAAATATAATCTGCAAACAATCAGTCGCCAACCTTTATAGTATAAATTTATATATATAATGTGGACCGTTGATCTAACACTAATTTGAACGTATGATTATGTCCATGAAACATGCATCCCGGCTACCCTCGTACACGAGTATCGACCTAATTTGCGTTAGTGAATAACGAAATAAAGCAAGCCAAATACAAGAATGAATTTTGGATGTACATGTTTCATACACTCGTTGTTTCTGACAAACAATATGAGAAGCGAAGCGGGGCAGACCAGAGAAGGCAACCGTGCCAAATTCATTCGATAAAGAGTGATTCAATATTTTCAACCAGACACGCGATATATAAAGTAAGCGATACACACACATACCTTCATATAAAAGCAACCAAGGTTAAAATGCGACCCACTAGTTTCGATATTAAACCTTGGAAATGTTGAAAGTAGCCACTTACTTAGGAAGGTAATAAGTTTATTAATGAGATACAGATCGCAGCAAGTTGATTCAAGATAAGGTTAGATGGGATATTTTTAAAGAACTGACTGGGTTTCCAGCAAGACCAACAAGTAAGCGATGTTAAGGACAGAATTATGGGTAAGGGACTGAAGTAAGTTGAAAACACTATTCGTTCAAAATAATCGGAGTGACAAAGTTGTGTTACGCATAACAAGACATCGTTCAACAGCATATAATGGTGGCTAAACTGTAAATAAATTATAAGAAAACAAAGGGTGGTCAAAAGGGATAACACTAGTCCAGTTATTCATAGACTGATGGCTTAGGATGTATGTATAATTGTAAACTTTTGACTGGTCTCAGAATGATAAAATGGTGATCAAAGCTAATAAGAAGGGGGTCCAAATGTACTTACTAATTGTCTTCGTCTACTTATCGAACATGTCATTACTCTTCATTCAAATGTACTTAAGATACCGAATAAATACTTGGAATATTCATTTATGTCAGTCAGCTGCAACGTAGGACCAGGCACGTATATGCATCAGTCCAAGTTGCCATACCGCATTAGCACAACAAGATGAATACCGGATTCGTAAAAGTAGTTAATTCAGTCGTGGTAATATACAGAAGAAAGATTGGGTATAAGCAGATAATACAGGAAGAAAGAATAAGTTCCTAGAAAGAAAGATTTGAAGTGATTTTAATCTCTTACTTTAAGGAAGACAGAGAGTGTATACACCGACGCCATTGTGATCGATTCTGAGCCATGTCACCAAGAGTCTCCAACCATTGGTTACGATAGTCACACGGAACCCAACCAGACAGTCTGAATCTTCCAACATGGCTCAGACCAGAAGTTAGTGACTTCAAGCACTGATGCCACGTTTTGGTTTGGCCGCCCCTAACTTTCTTCCAATTATCCCTAACACCAGTGAGTATTGCGCGTCGTGGTAATCGGTGTTCAGGCATACGCAGCATGTGGCCCAACCATCTCAGTCGATGAACATTCATAACCTCATCAACTGATTTACCATCATTCCCTAATACCCTGCGTCTAACCTCACTATTACTTACCCGGTGATCCCAGCAGATGCGAGCAATATTTCTAAGGCCAGGGAAGTCCTACTCACTGCCTTCTCGTGGCGCGGGTGTTGTTTACGAAAATGAGAGGACGAAAAGCGAATGTCCGGCGCTATAACCGGATCCCAAACCAATGGTGCACATGGGCTCCAGGATCCTGCGGGAACAAATGGCGTATGAACCAACTTTTGGTCACTGGCTTCCATGGGACTGCATCTCCTTACGATGTTCCACTGCCTTGTGGATCAGATCTTCAGGTCAAAGGCTCGGGGTGTGGCCCCCTAAGAAAACCACCTGCTTCGATTTGGGCACCCGGGCAGTATCACAGCCCTCACACATATCAAATGAGATCTGTGTGGCGCATATGTGTTTGGTGCCTTCTTGTACCGATATCTATGTGTTAAAATAATGATAATAATCTTCTACTCTTAAAGGCCACGTTTCACAGCCGTAAAGTAGAACAAAACGAACTGCTGTGCAGTATACTCGTCCCTTATTTGATAGACGGATATCTCGCCTTCGCCATAGGCGACGTAAGTTGATAAAAACCAAACGACCTTTCTGAATCCTTGCTGAGATTTCGTCAGACACCAACCCACTAGGGCTGATCAGACTTCCAGGATAAGTGAAGTTGTCAACGCGTTCGACCACTTTAATCCCTATCCTTAGTTCAGGTGTTGAGACAGGCCATTCCCGAGGCAACAATTTGCATTTAGAGGGAGAGAAGCGCATCCCAAACATTCTGGCATTGTTGCTCAGTGCTACCAAAACACTCTGCATTTTATCAGCGTCTTCACCAAACAGGACTATGTCATCTGCGTATTCCAAGTCGATAAGTAGACCTCCTGGAAGGAGCTCAATACCCAAGAATTCAGTCGATGAGAGCATTATTTCCATCAGTAGGTCTATGATGAAGTTAAATAAAAATGGAGAAAGTGGACAGCCTTGACGGACACCACTTGAGGTTGCAAAAGCAGATGACAGTTCGCCATAAGCTCTCACTCGACTAGTAGTGTTCGAGTAAAGAGCCTTCACAAGGTTTATGTACTTCTGAGGTACGCCTTTCAATGACAGACACTGCCACAGAACCTCTCGGTCAACAGAGTCAAATGCTCCTTTTAAGTCAAGGAATACCACCATTGTCGGACGCCGATAAGCATGTCTGTGTTCTAGAACCTGACGAATGGTGAATATGTGGTCGATGCAGCCACGACCAGGTCTGAAGCCAGCTTGGTTTTCACGTGTTTGCAGTTTACGAGTCTTAGTTAGGCGTCAGTAAAATGATCTTCTCTGAAACTAAACGTCAGTAGTTTTCATCTTTATAAATTTACTTGTTTTGTTGCACAGTATAGTAACTTGAACCAGTGTATTATTAAAATGGATTTTACACTCCAACATTTACTTGGGTATATTGGTAGATAATTAAACGGGATTTCAAACTATAAGAGATGAATAGTAGGATGATAGATTTAGGAATCCAATGCTCCATATAGTATTTTGTTTAGATAATACAAATAGGACTAAAGACTGAAAAATAAGTGGTATAACATACGGGATGATTGATAGCGACTTCTGTTGTGTGGCGAAATATTTGAACTAGTTTTGTTTCGGTTATCTGCTGGACGACGGGGAGCATTTGGTTTAGGTACAGGAGGTGGTAACTGTTTGCCAGTATGAAAATCTTTCTTTAACTGAAGTTGAGGTGATGACGATTTTTCAATCTTATTATTCCACGTTTCTGATGACTTGTCTGTAGGAGTGATAGTGAGCAATGAAAAGGCTTCTATGAGATCTTTATTTTTATTAGACTCTCCCTGAAAAATCAGTGAGGGATTGGAAAGTCACAAAACGATACAGAAAACATGAATTTAGAGTGTTTTTAGTTGACGAATATTAAGTTCGAATATGAACCACAAAAACCGTTTCATCTTAACATATGACAAAAAATGTTTGTTTTATTCACTAAACCTTATTTAAAGGAACATAATAAAACAACAGCGATACAGATGTGATGTTACCCTTTCAAATATTGAATTATTTAGAACATTTAACCCACAATTATAACCTCAAATCCAGTTGTATTATAGGGATCGCGTTTTCTGTTGGAGTACTATTACCAATATTACAAGTCATCATTTACATGCTACCCAATCGTAAAATATACAACGGAATGATCATTGGTAGGTGGTTATAAATATAGAGTTCACTTAGACGGGAAGTATAATCAACAAAAACTCATTAAAGTGGGAGCATTGAACCCTTAACAGTAATGTCGGAAAGTAGTAAAACTGGATTTCTCTCATCATAGAAATATGTAGTCATTAATATAATTTTCCCCTGAAAACAGCAATAGAGTCATTTCCAAATGTATTATGATAGCATAGACATCCTAACAGTTATTTGATTTTGTACTTCACATTCGACCCACTATTTGTGTAAATTAGAGATGCGGCAAATTTATCAGTTACATAAGTTTGAATGATGACGTTGCATATACACGTTAGCGAGGAATCTCTATCGTAAGTACAACGTGGTTAACCAGTGATCTCGATTTTTATCAATTCTTTACTTTTGGGTATAAAGTTAAGAATGCTTCCGAAACTGTTATAATATCCGAAGGTTTATGAGAACCTATGTGAAGTTAGTAAACCAAGTAATTGCAATCTATAAAAGGAAGTGAACAATTGACTGGGTTTCTAATAATTTAAAAGAAATTTTCAGTTAAATAAATAAATTAGGAAAACAGTATCGAAAGTTTACTTACATGATTACGAGTTTTTACAGCTGCTTTGACATGCGCCGATGGAACAGTGTACAAAGCAGGTAAGAAATGAGGAAATGGTAACAGTTCACTTCGAACTACCTGAGTCAAGTTAAACAACCAAGGCCAGGGAACCCCATTAAGGATTAAACAAACACAGGTTCCTATAGGTAATCCACCAACACTCAGAAAGGACTTGCTTACCGACTCAAAGGCGAAATCAACAGTGTGAGGTATATAGAATCCTTTACTGTACCACTTATACCATTCTGAGGTAAGTCGTTTTCCGGCAATCGCTGAAGCAATTTGGGTAGCACTTGGATAAGCATCATCAGCTTCACTTTTGTTACTAAAATATGTACGTCGTGTTGGACTACTAGAAAAAATTGAACTGAATGGTCTATTGTAGCCGGACAAAAGAGGATTAGAACCGTCAGAAAATGAGTCGTTTGACAAAGAATTTACTACCGTCGTATCTCTCACCAACTGATTGTCACGAAGACCATTGTAGAGAGATTGATTGGGAAATGTTTTAGAATGAATAAAAGCAGATTCATCGATTTCCGTGGTAGCTTTTGAATTCGAATTTGCTTGTGAATTTTGTTTAGATCTTTTAGTGACTATTTCCTCAAGAGACACTTGACAGGTTGCAATATGATTTAGCTGTCGAAGACGTAATTCAAAAGCCCATTGACGTTGAGCAAACATATCTAAATGTGCCATTAAGTTGAGAGCAATTTGTGTACTGAAACAAAAGCAAACATAAAAAGTTGGTACAAATGAACTCTGTGTATGTGATTCCCGAAAATCTCAACTGTATTTAATTAGGCAATGATGGATAGTGGCTAGTAGTGGAATCCAGGACGCGCGTTTCGTCCTATTTGGGACTCGTCAGCTGGATGTATCTGCATCTCAGAGTTGATGTTCACTCTGGGACTCGAACTCAGTACCATTCGCTTCAAAAGACATCGCGTTATCCACTCAGCTAATGAAATACTATCCAACTCTGCTTATAAAGGTTTGTGAATTAAGGCAACATCAAGGCATAAGCACAGTATGAACATATGCCAATAACAGACTGATCAATTGCAGTCTTAAACCTCAATGGGAAGATACAAGCCAAACAATACCAAGTGAATTTGAATTCACCGCATTGCACAAGCAAGTGGCTATCAGCACTCAGTAGCTGAGTAGATAATGCAATGGCGTTTGAAGCGAATGATACTGAGTTCGAGTCCCAGAGTGAACATCAACTGTGAGATGCAGGTACATCAAGCTGACGAGTCCCAAATAAGACGAAATGCGCGTCCTGGACTCCATTGCTAGCCACTATCCATCATTGCTTACACTAAAATAGCTTGTGAATTAAGGCAATATCGAGGCATACGCACAGTATGCACATATACCAATAACAGACTGATCAATTGCAGTCTTAAACCTCAATGGGAAGATACAAGCCAAACAATATCAAGTGAATGTATTCAATTAATCTGTAAAATCTGAATAGTACAATGAGGGTATTAACTTTTATACATTAACTTACTAACTGCATAGGTGAAAACGTTGGCCAACGCATAATAACTCATTTTGATACACACGGGCTTCTCTTACAGTACCTAAAAGCGTATATATCTCGGCAGTTTGATGGCAACCGTATAAAAGTAGTCGCGTCCCCAACCATAGATTAAGTAATTCATTATCTAGAAATAATCAACATTATAGTTCTCAATTACGATGCGATCATACATGACAATGAAAAAAATGTTTATCAATCATGGTCAATCAGAGGAGTTGCAAACATTTTCTGAAGATAATAGCGTAGGAGTATAAGTTTCTTCTTAAATCATGTTGAATGTTTATGATAGATTGCCAGTTATAAAAAACCCTAGATAACACAAAAGATTTCGAAAATAAATATATTCAGTCCAGTCAAGATTTTATCCTGTTTTATAAAAGTTAAATTATCTCAAGCAAGACATTTAGATTGATTTCCCAACCAATCCATCAAAATTTTCATCTGCTTTGGAAGCAGCACTTAATCAGTAATTAGTTCCAAAGTGTTGGTCATGTTCTTTAAAAGATAAAATGTATATTGCATAATCAATGAGGTGAGACTAATCAATAGTGCCTAAATAACAAATGCAGTTAATACGCCTTTCGTTAGCAGGGTAGAGAATTGAGAAAAGCAAGTCACAGATAAGATTATGTTGGAGTATGTATATTACGAACTCCGCCTGTAGCTCTTTTAGGGTTACTGTCGGTCCCAAACCCAGATAAAGTAGCAGGGTTGGGTATGTGGTCACCAACCCCATCCTGTAGAAAGCAACCTCGATAAAATACACTAACCAGAATAAACAATTTAAACTCTGACCTCCGAGTCCAGCGATCTTCATTCAGAAGAATCACGACGCCTCACGGTGAATACCGAGATTCTCAAGAAGTCACGAGGACGATGCCCCTTCTAACAATCAAACCAACAATTAATATAAGTACACAGAATATCCGGACAATGTGAAAGACCGGTTAGAACCAGTCAAATAGCTACGGAAATAAGGCGATACAACTCGTCGGTGCTCGGAATCAGTGAAACACACTAGACCCAAGCTGGAAAGAAGAGATTAGATTCGGGAGAGACGCTGCTGTACTACGATCACGAGTAACAAAATGCTCTGCACACGCAAGGAGTTGTACTGATACTGATCAAAGGAGCACCAAAAGCACTTGTGAGATGGGAATCTCATGGATCCAGAATGATCAAAGCATCCTTCAAAACAATGGTGGTATTCCTTGACTTAAAAGCAGCGTTTGACTCTGTTGACCGAGAGGTTCTGTGGCAGTGTCTGTCATTGAAAGGCGTGCCTCAGAAGTACATAAACCTTGTGAAGGCTCTTTACTCGAACACTACTAGTCGGGTCAGAGCCTATGGCGAACTGTCATTTGCTTTTGCAACCTCAAGTGGCGTCCGACAAGGCTGTCCACTTTCTCCTTTTTTGTTTAACTTTATCATAGACATCCTGATGGAAATAACGCTCTCATCGACTGACTTCTCGGGTATTGATCTCCTACCAGGAGGTCCACTTATCGACTTGGAATACGCAGATGACATAGTCCTGTTTGGTGAAGACGCTGATGAAATGCAGTCTTTTGTTAGCACTGAGCAACAATGCCCGAATGTTTGGGATGCGCTTTTCTCCCTCTAAATGAAAGTTGTTGCTTCAGGACTGGTCTGCATCAACACCTGAACTAAGGATAGGGGGTGAAGTAGTCGAACGCGTTGACAACTTCACTTATCTTGGAAGTCTGATGAGCCCTAATGGGTTGGTGTCTGACGAAATCTCAGCAAGGATTCGAAAAGCTCGCTTGGCCTTTGCCAACTTACGTCATCTATGGCGAAGGCGAGATATCCGTCTATCAATTAAGGGACGAGTATACTGCGCGGCAGTTCGTTCCGTCCTTCTATACGGCTGCGAAACATGGCCTTTTCAGAGTGGAAGATATTCGTAAGTTACTAGTATTTGACCACAGGTGCCTTAGAAATATTGCGGGTATCTGCTGGGATCACCGGGTAAGTAATAGTGAGGTTAGACGCAGGGTATTAGGGAATGATGGTAAATCAGTTGATGAGGTTATGAATCTTCATCGACTGAGATGGTTGGGCCACGTGTTGCGTATGCCTGAACACCGATTACCACGACGCGCAATGCTGACTAGTGCAGGGGATAATTGGAAGAAAGTTAGGGGCGGCCAAACCAAAACGTGGCATCAGTGCTTGAAGTCACTAACTTCTGGTCTGAGGCATGTTGGTAGATGCAGACTACCTGGTTGGGGTCCGCGTGACTATCGTAACCAATGGTTAGAGACTCTTGGTGACATGGCTCAGAATCGATCACAATGGCGTCGGTGTATACACTCTCTGTCTTCCTTAAATTAAGAGATTAAAATCGCTTCATATCTGTCTAGGAACTAATTCTTTCTTCCTTTACTATCTCCTTATACACAATCGTTCTTCTATATTTTACCACCACTGAATTAACTACTCCTATGAATCCGGTGTTCATCTTGTTGTGCTAATGCGGTATGGCAACTTGGACCGATGCATATACGTGCCTGGTCCTACGTTGCAGCTGACTGACTGACTGACTCAAAACAAAGAACGAAATCACAATGAAGTTATCCAATGTTATGCACCCACCAATCATAGCACCGACGACGGTGAAGATAAGTCTCGTGCGAGGCTGAAAACGATTGTTAAGGAGTGCCCAAGAAAGGACCTGACCATTCAAATGGGCGACTTAAACGCCCAAGTCGGTATGAAAAACACCAGATATGAAGATAACATGGACTGACTGAAAGGAAGGGACGAGAATGGTGAGGGATTCGCAAATTTATACGCATTCAACAAAATGATTATTGATGGCACTATACTTCCCCATAAACACACACAAAGCTACCAGCCTTTCACTGGACCACACTACACAGAACCAAAATGATCGTATTTGTATCACTAAAATATTCAGAAGGCCAATGGAAGACGTAAGAAGCAGGAGAGGAACTGACATAGATTCAGATCACCATCTACCTAGTGGTTGCCAAGATGAAATTGATGCCAAACAAGCACTGGACAATTGGAGAAACAGCATTACAAAGGTTTAATGCAGCCTTTCTTTAAGATACTGACAAACTCTACGAGTTCAGGATAACTCTCAACATCAGATCCCAAGCCTCTCACTAGATTTGCAGTGGTATTGGTTCCTAACCGCACGATCTTTGGAGCCAAGCATGTAATTACTGAAAATATTCACATTCAACAACGAGGAACGTGGGAACACTTGATCGGTATGCAATCGCTCAGTCTTACAGGCGTGGTCACCCTTGTAACAAATCCCTAGTCACGTTAAAATATATTATCCTATCCCTAGTCCAATTGTGTTCTTGAGAAGCGCTAAATATCGTATTGCCGATTGTCACTATACGACGAGTCAGAATATACAATGATGTGACTTCCACACAAGATCTCATAGATCACGTGGTCACGTCATGACAAATCTACGATTTCGGGATTAGGTCCACTATAACAGTCACAAAGATAAATGTACTATTACCGAACTAGACCATAATTCTACAGATCTACTCGATGAAGAAGAAACTACTATAAAGGACAGATGGAAAGGGATCAAAGAGCCACTAGCTCCAACATGTCAGGAAGGTCTGGGACGCAAGGAGCAACATCTCGAGGAATAGATCTCCATTGAAACGCTGGGTAGGATTCAAGCAAGGAAGAACAAAACAATAATCAAAAACAGTCGAACAAGAACAGTGAAAGTCAAGGCACACATTGAATACACAGAGGCAAACGAGAGAGTGAAGAGGAGCATTAGAGCCGACAGGCGGAAATACGTGGAAGACCTGGCAGCGACAGCGCAAAAAGCGGCAAGAGAAGGAAATATCAAACAACTATATGATATAACGAAGAAACTAACAGGAAAATATAGTAAACCAGAGAGATCAGTCAAAGACAAGGAAGGCAAGCCAATCACTGAGATTCAAGAACAGCGGTACAGGTGAGTAGAGCATTTTGAAGAGCTCTTTAATAGACCAGCTCCACTGGACCCACCGGACAGCTAAGCAGCACACAGAGACCTTCCGATAGATGTCATTCCACCAACGATCGAAGAAATAAGGATGGTCATCAGAAAAGTCAATAGTGGAAAGGCAGAAGGACCGGACAACATACCAGTTGAAGCACTAACGTCAGACATTGAAGTGTCTGAAAAGATGCTCTACGATCTATTCATGAAGATTTGGGAGCAGGAACAAGTGGCGACAGGCTGGAAAGAAGCATACCAAGGATATGAAGTAGAAATACAGATGCTTCACACTATTATCGGTACTAGGGAATGTTTTCAACAATTTCGCTGAACCGCATGAAACATTCTGTAGACGCTCAGCTTCAAGATCAACAGGCTAGATTCCCTAACGATAGGTCCTGCACAAACTAAATTGCGACACTACGGATGATCACTGAACAATCAGTTTAGTGGAACTCGTCACTATACACCAACGTCCTTGACTATCAGAAAGCATTTGTCAGTATGGGTAGGAGAAACTTATGGAACCTTCTTCTACACTATGGAAACAGTAGCACCATTCGGAATTCATAAAATGGATCACACTGCAAAATCGTGCATGGAGGATTGACGACAAACACATTCAAAGTGAGGACCGGAGTCATACAAGGTTGCTCATTATCTTTCTTTCTTTTTCTTCTGGCACTGAACTGGATTATGAAGACCTCCACATCTGAGTGAAAGCATCGAATGCAATGGACAGGTTGGATGCAGCTAGACAACTTGGACTTCACAGATGACTTGACAGTTCTATCCCATACACACGAACAAATACAGGTCACGACTCAAACTGTAACAGTAGGCCTTGATATATATAAGGGAAAAAGTAACTCGGAGAACACCAACCTTATCAAGCTTAATAGAGAAACTCTGGGACAGGTGGTAGCTTTCACGTAACTTGAGCATCATCATCGATGAACAAGGAGAATCTGAAGCAAACATAGAGGTAAGGATTAGAAAAGCAAATGCAGTGTTCCTACAGTTGAACAACATATATCACCCAAAACGACTGTTAACCAATATCAAAATCACAATCTTCAGTATAATCGTCAAGATAGTTCTGTAGTGTGAGCTACTAATGTTGACAGATATAAGTAGCATGTATCATCAATCATAAGTGAAATGTCTGGCGGTAGAATGTTAAGAAAATCAATAAAAAGAGAACGAGAACATAGAATGTTTGCTGTGGAGAGAAGTCTGAGACGATTGATTGACATTTGCGAAAGGAAGCCATGTTTCAGACAACTGATTGACACTTTACATATTAAGTTCGATGGACAATGCCAGTGGTCGACCTATGCTCCCCGACGAGGGGTAACAGGCGTAAGTAAGTATGTATGCTAATTGCCCCATTTACAACCGGTCGGGGCTACCGAGTGTTGTAATTTCTCTTATTGTGACCTAACTATTCGTAATGCTTAGTATTCTTGGACACCGATTCACCCGACATTTCCCCAAATCAGAACACGGTTGAACAGGAACGAAATTATATTCCAAATAATAAGAGTAGATGGAAGTAGAAAGCACAATAAGAGAAGCGTTAGTATATTTAGTTTTTACATGAGAAAATTCTAGAGTTTTCTCCAAGTATCGACTAGCGCGGATTAGATAAGAAATAGCCAATCAGCATGCACTAACATAATCGGGCACGGAACATGCTTTAATCCAATATATGTTCCGTTAACACTGGGTGAACTAAGAAGACTCTCGAACATTCCTGTGAAAAGTTTATGCATCCACTGACATGTTACTTACATTATTATTTGCTTGGAAAATATTCCGGTTTTGTTCAACTTTTGCACTGATTCGGGAATTGTGAAATGTTCAAGAATACTAAGCGGTAGAAAAATACTAGACCGAATAAGGGGACTTGACATCTTGGTAATGAAAGGTTCCTAAAGATTAATAATACCGTCTTTAGAAGTGCGAACCAGAAGAACAACGAATAACTATAAGTAGGTCTGACAAGCTAGAGGTAAACACTGTACATACTAACAAACGCCGATTGAGAACTACGTAAATTTTTTAGAAATCATAAACTAACGTAAGTTAGACAACCAATGGAAACCTGGAAATACTGGAAAGCTTTATCGTCCTAGTACAGGATATTTAGTAGCGAACATCTACGAAAAAACTTGGGGATCGAACCCATGATCATCGGCCTCGCATGAGGCGCTTAACCTCTAGACAACTAGCCCGGAATCCAACGATGCAAATGTTTAACTTCAACAGACCCGTGACTTTTTGTAGAAGGCAAATTATAAGATTTTATGAAGTACCATAAACATTATTAGGAATAAATTATACAATAAAGGTGATTAGAAAGGATTATAAACGAAGAAAAACAACTTCTTATACCTGTTAATGAAACAGAAGACCAAGCAGCGGTAGATAATTTGAGTTCTGAAGGTACTGACTTTGGTTCAACAAACTTTTTCAAATTTTTGGGACCAACAGACGGATCTTTATTTTCTTTTCCAATGCCGACCTTAACTTGCTGTTTTGAACAGGAACGATTCTGTAATTTCTGCTCACAACACAAGCGCATAAATTTCACCAGTGTTTGACCATGCATACGAACAATAACTGCAGCATGCAGAGGAGATGCGGGCGGTGGAGGGAACGTATCGTGACTGTCTGACTGAAGAGGTGTATTGACCAACTCAAAGTTAGCACCAAATATGCAGCGAGCATGAAGATGCAGCCAGTAGAAGTAGCCACGAGCACAGACAACGGCCCACGACTTTCCCTCAAAGAACTCTTTATACTGCAGTCGAATAAGATCCAGGTTTGCAGAAAAAGCAGGCCACTGATAAGGACAAGAACGATATTTTAACCGTTAATACCACCACATATTTAAGCGTTAGGATGGATATTAATTCAGTTGTCGATAAGGTGACATAAATTAAATTAGGTATATAGATTAAAATTAATGCAATGTCTAAATAATAGGCTCAAGAATCAGGTCTTACTTGATAGCATAGTGAGCTAATACGATTAAATTTCTACCAATCGCTTATAACATTTTATCATGGGTATTTTGTGTCAATATTTCGCACATAAGGATGCTATTTTCTAACATAAAAATGAGTTCGAATGAAGTCTCTATAAAGAGTAAAGGCTTCCATACAATTTGGAATCATCACTCTAGTTAGTAGATAGAAAAGAAAACGAAAGCAGTCTCCCTCGTCATATTGAATTTATACCTGAAAATTAATGGTTTTAATTAATGTATATGATGATCTTAATGGCACTTTAAACTGATTCCAGGGACAGGAAAACTGTCGAATAGCAGTAGAATATTCCGTACACCAAATGTACAATATAAGTATGTTAGGAGGAACTGATTATAAGTTCCAAAAATATATTAAAGGAATCACACTATGCTTTACGTTACAACTAGTTGCTACTATTGATTCCAACACAATGTGACAAAAAATTCTGGTATCCACTTGGTTACTAAGTCGCAATAATTTACAATGATATAACACTGACTAGTACACAACCATATGCATATTTGGGGATGAATTAGATGTGCACTTAGTCGATCCCCAAAGTGATTCCCACATCGATGTAGGCTGGAATGATATCCAGATAGCTGTAAAATGAGCGGTGATATCTGCCAGTAACCATAACCAAAAATCTAGGAAACTCAGTCGATTCCGGTAGCGTTGACCAAGTTGATAGAAGCCTGAGAAGACATTTTATTAGGTTTGAAACATGATAGGAAGCAAAAAAAACTTAAAATTAGACTAATAAAACGTCTACAAAGTGATCATTCCTAGCGAAAGCATAAGCAATCGAAAAAGAGGTCGCGACAGGCAACAGTAAAACTTTTCAGATTTGTTAAGGAAGTTGGAATTGAAAATTCGGCTGTTAGTCTATTTTGGAAAAAGACTGGACGATAATGTAATCACAGCCTATGAGACCGGAACGGTAGGCATAAAAATGTAAATAACAGTTCAACTTCATTCTAGCTACCAACGCGAATGAAATGTCAACATGCAAATCCATGGCTGAGGCCAATTTAAAGCAACAGAGAACAGCATACTCTGACTAAAACTCTAGGTCTTTAAGGATGTTAGTTGTTTCAAGTGTTAGATTGTCTGAGATATAAGTTAGACTTGAGACTGGATACAATTTCATCTGACTGGTCACGATAGCAGGTCGTTCCAGTAAAAATGGTTTTGTGATTACCACAGGAGAATACGTCTACCTAATATAGAGTCTAAAGTACTGGATTTGATAATAATCGAACGCTTAAATAGGGTTCGTGAACAGCAAACACGAAAAAAACCGGGCTGATTTCACGCCTAGATGTATCGATCACATATTAGCCTTTCATTAGGTCCTAGAACACAGATGCATCTACCGACTCAAAACCATAAGTGTATTTCTTGACAATGAGTCTGCGTTAATGTCTGCCTCAACGCTAGACTAAAGATATAGAGCGAAGTATTTCAGTGTGTTAGTCATGCCCCTTAACTAACCAAGCCCCGTGGGTTTACATCCGACAAAATTTTAGCATGGACCCAGAAGGAGGTTGGCTTTTGCTAACTCGTGTTATTGGTGGCGTAAGCGAGATATCCATTTTCCAACTAACGTCCCAGTATATTGTATGATAGTTCGTCCCATTTTACTTTATGATTATGAAATGTGGCTCTTAAAAATAGGGGATCTTTATAGGTTACTAGTATGCAGTGATAGATGCCTTCGAATTATTGCTCGTACACATCAGACCTCTCGACTTGGTAATGCTGAGATTCGAGGCAGGGTACTAGGTAATTATGGAAAAAATCGGTTGGTAAGGTTGTGCATCATCATCAACCGAGGTGATCGTGACATACATTGCGTATGATTATCCTGGCCCCCAAAATCCCTGATACGGTCGAGGGTGGGGAGAGTCCGCTTCCTCGAATCGCTCACTGCCTTCTCGTGTCGGGGGTGTTGTTTACGAAATTTATTATTATTTATTTATTTATTTATTATTTATTTTAACACATAAGTATAGGTACAGGGAGGCACCAAATACATATGCGCCACACAAATCTCAATTGATTTGTGTGAGGGCTGTGATACTGCTCGGGTGCCCAAACCGAAGCAGGTGGTTTTCTTAGGGGGCCACACCCCGAGCCTTTGACCTGAACGTCTGATACACAAGGCAGTGGAGCATCGTGAGGAGATGCAGTCCCATGGTAGCCGGTGACCAACGATTGGTTCATACGCCATTTGTTCCCGCAGGATACTGGAGCCCATGTGCACCATTGGTTTGGGGTCCGGTTAAAGCGCCAGACATTCGCTTTTCGTCCTCTCATTTTTGTAAACAACACCCCCGCCACGAGAAGGCAGTGAGTAGGACTTCCCTGGCAGAGGCTATATACGCATGGCCATGTGAGAGCATTTCGAGAGGGAGAGCGGACTTCCCCCACTCTCGAAATTGAGAGGACGGAAAGCGTACGTTCGGTACTTTAACCGGATTGGTGGATATGGAGGATTCATCTATGGGAATTGGAAAACTCTGATCTCGAAACAATGGTGCACATGGGCTCCAGGATCTTGAAGGAACAAATGACATGAAACTGTTGTTGGTCATCGGCTACCATTGGACTGCATCTTCTAACGTTGCTCCACTGTCTTGTGCATTAGACCTTTAGGTCAAAGGTCCCTGGTGTGGTCCACTAAGAAAACCGCCTGCTTCAGTTTGGGCACACGGGCGGTATCACAGCCCTCACACAAATCAATAATAACTGCTACTAGCCTCGTTGTTATTGTGTGGCGCATATCTATGTGGTGCCCCATTGTACCAAGGTTTATGTGTTCAAATAAATAAATAAATATGGCTATCCACCGTGTACATCGTCATGCAAGTAAGTTGGAAGAGCGCTAGTGGCTCTTTAAACAAGACGTGGCATCAGTTTCTAAAGCCACCAACTGTTGGAGTGATGCGTGTAGGTCGACCAAAACTAACTAGTTCAATACTACGTGATCACCACAACCAATGGTTAGAGATTTTGAGTGACATCGTTTAGCCCCTAGGTCATCCACCTTTCTTATTTCTCTTTAACCTAGAATCCCCAATTACCTTATAAGCTTAGTTTAAAAAACTAAGCCTTTTTTTCTTCTTGAATTATATCTTTCATGGCTAATACTTTCTATCAACACTAACACTGTTACTACATCTACGACTCTGAAATCCACCTTGAAAATTTGATCTCAATGTGCTAGTGGTGTGGGAAATTGAGCCGATACACATATGTGCCGGGTTCTACGTTGCGTATGACTGAACAACTGGATATTCAATCTGGAAGTTACTTTTGAACATTTATTTCCATTTTTAAAGATGATAGAAAAATGGGTGAAATCGATACATATAAATATTTATACTGTTTGCTTTCAGGGTACAGCACATAAGGAGGTGAGACTATAATCTATGGACGAACCAATCAGATTTACGATGACATGTCTTAGATTTCGGCGCGAAATTGGCTAAATAGCGTCTTGATATTTTAGTTTATGTCAGTTCGTGATAAAAACCTTAAATCTAATCTCTATCCCTAATCAGTCAGTCAGCAACAACGTAGAACTTCGTACATTCGTACATCAGTTCAAGTTGCCACACCACATTAGCACAGAGATGCAGTTGTCGATTCAAATCGCACAGTGGTAGAGATAGTACGAGTATAAGCAGTAATCGGAAACACTAGGGTCTGAAGATGTTATTCAAGAAGCATAATACAGTGAAATAAATTTGGGAAGAGAAAAAAGGACATGAAGAATTCAGAAGATTAGGATTCGGGAGAACACAAAGAGTGGATGCACCTGCGCTATTGCAAGCGATTTTAAGCCATGTCATTCAAGGTCCCTAATCATCGGTTGCTATCATCTCACGGATCCCAACTAGGTAGTCTACACCTAACAACATATCTCAGTCCACTTGGAAGGGCTTGAATGGGACCAACTTTTCTCGTGTGTTGCTACGGGTATGAGGGCTGATATCACTTCCCGGATGCCCACACCGTGGTAGGATATTTTTGAGGAACCTGAAAAAGGTGGATTAACCTTGGTCTTAACGACCCGTGAGCGTGACTGCAGAGCCCAAGGGACAACTGATTGAGGCCAGTCGCGCACGGTTTTTCTGCGGGAGGTTTTAAACGTGTTAGCTCCGTTCTTCAAAGGGCTTTACGGCCAGAGACGAAAATCCGTAAGGTAAGGTGAGGTGTGATATTTTTAGGGTCAACCTTTTCTAACCCCTCCCTTCCTTGTGAGAGGACAGCATCGCTGCAGATACTGGTTGTCCGAGGGAAACACCTTGCTGCTGTCACACCCCTCTAAATTCAGCAGTACGACTTCGCCCTCAGACCTTGTGTTGCTGCTTTTACACATACCGTTCTCCAATCTACCTGCACGGTATGGTAGAACCTACAAGAACATATTTTCCAGCCAATATAGCTCGGTTGGGTCTATACGATAGGCAAGCTCGACCACCACGTCAAGGTAGCAGCCACGAACATCGACTGTACACCACAAACCTTATTCTACACACAGGTTTAAAGCCCGTATTTAACCCTAGTCAGTAGGTTGACATCTTCAAGGCCACTTAAGCGTCGCTGACAGGTCGTCCATAAATTGTAGTCTCATCCATACGGATTTAGACACGACCCATCTATATCGAATTAAGCAATTAAGATCCATTGAACCGGGAATCGCCGACAGGGTTTGCTGATATTTCGAGGGCATAAATTCAAACCGTGACAGTAAAGCTTCATCAGCTGTTGAGAGGCTTCATGCCGAAATACATTTCCTCGAAAGAAGTACGCAGGTTCATCCATATTTCGATTCGTTTATTATCAACTCAAGAGTTTACAAATGCACAGCACAACTACAGGACACCAGAGATTAGGGTACGTACATTCGGGGACGGTAACTGCTGATTCTGACCGTGAAGTAAACATTGTTGATATGTGAATAAACATTGTACCGAATTACAGTCAGAAGTAACTTCAATGCATGGATATAAAACTAGCTTTAGTAACATACATTCGAGAGACATTACCGATTCTTTTTATCATCTTAAAAGTATTTTTAAGTCACCACTAACAGTGAAGTGCTTAAACGTTCGGATCACGCTTGATAGATTTTGAACTTCAGTTCAAGCCATGATAACATGAATAGAGGTGTGCATTTGTGCTAGTTAACAGCTTTAAATGTGACTTTGGATATGTCAGTTTCCTTCGTACTATTTTTCTTCTCTATGACAAAAACTACAAATGTGTGGTGATAACTCTCATATAAAGATAAAAGTAGTTTCTATACTTTATTCGGTAGCACAGCACATCAAAATACAGTATTTGATGAAAACCTCGGTCCCAGACAAAATTATAGAGCAACACGTATTATAGACGGAATATTTAACTTACGTTGAAATAGTGTTCTATGTAGGCTCTTCCAAGGGATACAACCATCGACTGGAAATGTGCATGTGGAGTGGGGAGTCGGCCTGTCAAACAAGCTTCATGTGTGGACTCAAAGATTTCATTACTGTTGTTAAGAACTGAAAGAACCTCGGTACGAATCGAATTCAGGGCATCATAAACCGAAGCATTTTGTTCATATGAAAAAATTTTTGAAAGACAGTAGTTTGTCAAAGCATAAGAAGCATCCAAAAATCGTCCAGAGTTGTCGCTGATTGTAAACATTACTTTCCATATTGACGATTCCAATTCGAACTAACAAAAGTTTTGGAGGTAAGTGTGAGCACATAAAAGTACGTAAACCATTTTATTTTTTAAAAAATCATTAAATCAGACGTACGTAGTGGAAGCTGGTAAATGAAAAATAATGAAATAACATAAATGGAACTGGAAACGAGACGTGTCTAGATATAACATCCACTACATTCAAATGCTAACAGATGATTTACATTCGAAAAGTCCAATAGCAATATTGAAGACGTCCCGTAAAATCGCCAAGTAGGATTTCAGGACTTGATTTTTAACGAACATCACTCAAACAATAAACTTCCTAGTTCTACACTTCTAACGTGGATTAAAATGAATAAAAGGCCGGACTACATAAAAAATATTTTAGCTTAACTCCAATTTATTCTTAAACTAGATATCTTGATTAGATAGTTGCAATAATATGGTCTAGTCTTAATCTAGTCTAATCTTAAACAGTTTGTAAGGAATAATTTCATACTGATATATTACATGGATATATATATATATATATATATATATATATATATATATATATATACAAACATTTTGTTTTATTACAAGAAAAACTATAATGGTTAGTATTCTTTTCTCCATTCTTAATCGTTCGAAGGCTCCAGCCAATAAAATTTTGTTGTGAGTAACCATCACTCACCCACATTATATAACTGTATCCATTCACCGATTCAAACAATTGGCATCTTCGTCGTTTAATCATGGAAAGCCTTCACAACAATACGGTTATATATCCTCAGCCTTGAAACACTGTGTATAAACATTTCAGAAACCAGTGCTTGAGTTTATTTTATTTTATTTATTTATTTATTTGAACACATAAATATTGGTACAGGGGGGCACCAAATATATATGCACCACACAAAACAATGATAATTTGAAGAGGAGAAAAAAAAAGTAATGAACGTGGGGAATTATAAAAAAAAGAGAGAACAATGATGGGGAAAACGAAAAGGTACAATCAGAAGAAATCTTTCAGTTAAGGAAGATACAACCACTTTTTATGAAGAAAGTAAAAGAAGGTTACAGCAGGATCGCCACTGGCTTCTATTCTGAGCCATATCTGATAACGTCTCTAGCCACTGCGTTACACCGTCTCTGGGCCCCCAAATGCCCTGGTATGGCCGAGAGCGGGGAGGGTTTACCCTCCCTCTCGAAATACTCTCACACGGCCACGCGTATACAGCCTCTGCCAGGGAAGTCCTACTCACTGCCTTCTCGTGGCGGGGGTGTTGTTTACGAAAATGAGAGGACGAAAAGCGAATGTGCGGCGCTATAACCGGATCCCAATTCAATGGTACACATGGGCTCCAGTATCCTGCGGGAACAAATGGCGTATGAACCAACTTTTGGTCACAGCCTTCCATGGGACTGCATCTCCTCACGATGCTCCACTGCCTTGTGAACTAGACCCTTAGGACAAAGGCTCGGGGTGTGGCCCCCTAAGAAAACTACCTGCTTCGGTTTGGGTACCCGGGCAGTATCTCAGCCCACGCACTAAAACCATGATGAACTATTTGCTTATGGAAAATATTCCTTTCTATCTGATTAACATTGAAATAACTCGTACTATTATTATTATTGTTATTATTACTCTACCACGTCATTTATTCACGCTCTCTTATTCCTACTTTATGTATCCGTTTCGACCTAGACAGCAGCTCACCTATGGTGAAAATTCAGCTTTATCTAAACGTTCTCGAGTCACTGCCTGGGGTCCGAGAGACAGTGTGCTTGAGTTTACGAAGTTGAAACAAATGTCTACATTTATTTAGAAACAAGCGCTGCTAGCCAAAAGGGGTACTTGTGGGTTTTAGAGGTAATTCAACAAAGTCTCGTACGCCACGACTTGTCAACCAACTTCACATATGCCGTAGTGATGTCTCATAATAAACATTTTTAATTGCTTTTGAGTATTGTTACGCAACATTGAATTTAACTAATACCTTTTATATACACAATGCAAATGACTTTCGCTTCTGTAATAATGAGTTTAGTCTTATGGGACTGAATCGAAGATGAAAAGCTGGCTGTAATATGGCAGCCGATTTTAATAAGAATTTCGGGACATGAGTACATACTGACCATAAGTATGTAAGACATCAGAGTTGCAGTGAAAGTAACCCTTAGATTAATTCAGCAGTCTTGGTTTTAAATGATTTGCAAGAGTTCACGAGGATTAAAGAATATATTAATGTAATTAAAATAAAAATCATTTTAAATAGGTATATGTACAAACCTATTTCCTCAATCAATACAAAGCACATTACAATACACTTTACACCTTTCTAGCTCGCAAAAAAATTCCAGGGCGTTTAAATAGATAGGTAGACAATACATAATTAACTAGAATACTTACAAGATTCTGACAGGAAGCAAGAATTCCAAGTAGTTCGACTCGCGTTAACAGTTGACGGACCGATTGGTCAGGATGTTTTGGCGTACCTTCCAATGCCTTTAAACAGTCTTCAAGATGTTTTTTGATGCATTTAGAGTTGAAAACAGTAGGTAGTCCTGCGTAAACTTCTTCCGACTCCAGATATTCGGAAGTAAAATTGGGAGTATTATCAAGCCGTCCAACATCACAAACACTTGGAACTATGGATTGAAGCTAAGTCACATTATACGAAACAAATAACTGGTTACCAAACTAGTACACCGAGAAAGTTCGGAGAAGAAGCCGTCCAAAGAAAACATCAAGTGTTCCACACATTCAAAATGACCGCGCGAGTCACCGCAAGGTACCTTCCAATCATGTAAACAAACCAAAAGTCCACCTATTTAAAACATTTTACAAATGATTCTTATTCCGAATTTTTAAACTTGTTGATCGAAAAAACCTTTCTTTTTGATTTTTAATCGATAAGATATGATTCTATGCAACGGACACGAGTATCCAAATCTCAGATTTATGGTCTTTTTAACCGTTCTTCTTCTTAAAAGCAGAAAATCTAACTCATTGTTAGAAAATTAATCGGAAATCAACACGCTCAGCAAGTTTGTCAGTGCCAAGGGACAACAGTACGAGTGAAGTCTTATGAAAACTTAATTTTTCGTGACAGAATTAGCGAACTAGTTAGTTTCTGGACATCTACACTCAAATAATAGAAAAAAAATTTTTGATTATGGCGAGATACGGGTCATGATACATTGCATTTGACACTAAACGAAAAAATATAGTTATTGATAGTATTGGGCGTCGGTGGTTCAGTGGTAGAATGCTCGCCTGCCATGCGGGCGGCCCGGGTTCGATTCCCGTCCAACGCACATCGCTTTTAAAATGTGCGCTCTTAAAGACGAAAAGTTACCTGTAGACGTAGCCTACATCGACTTCAGCAAAGCTTTTGACAAAATTTCTCACAACTGGCTGTTATATGAGCTAAAAAATGTTGGAATTGGAGGCAATCTATGATGTGGATAGAAGACTTCCTTGTTGGGCGCCAACAAAGAATACGGGTAAACTCAAAGTTATCTAGCTGGGAAACTGAGCTTAGTGGAGTGTCCCAGGGTACAGTTTGAGGCCAGTGCTATTCCTCTTGTATATAAATGACCTTCCTCTCCTATTATCATCATCGGTCTTGCTATATGCTGACGATGTCAAGATATGGAGAATGATACGATGTAAGGGTGATAGCTTGGAACTCCAAAATGACCTGAAGAAATTATCCGAATTATGTCATATCTGGCAGCTGCCGATGAATACTTCCAAGTGTGTTGTGATGCATATTGGTCATCAAGGTACAGATACATACACGATGAGTAACACTGAGCTACCTGTTGTCCAGACACATAATGACTTAGGAGTCATCGTTAGCCAAGATCTGATGACTACTGCACACTGCCGTGCAATAAGCGCCAAAGCTTTCATAACTTTATGGTCAATACGTAGGGCTTTTACTCATGTCGATACTAAAAGGTTTTTGACTTTGTATTCACTGTTCGTACGTCCTAAACTTGAGTACTGCATGCAAGCGGCCGGCCCCTGCTTAAAAAAAGACAGTGAGCTTTTGGAAAAGGTTCAGAGAACAGCAACTAAGCTGATTCCCGGAATAGCGAAGCCTCCGTATGATGCTCGACTGGCCAAGCTAAACCTATTCCCTTTGTCATTTCGTAGAACTAGATCTGACTTCATTATAGTTTTCAGATTGCTTAGTGATAACTTTGCACCTGATATGCCCTCTTTTTTCTTGTCTTCCAAAACAGCGAATTTACGAGGACACTCCAAAAATGTTCACAAGCCCAGAACAAATTACTTGTCGGCTGATTATCGACTTTCCTACCGAATCATCAACGAGTGGAATTCATTACCTCAGCACGTGGTTGAAGCTCCATCCGTCGATTCTTTCAAAGGAAAGTTGGATTAACTGAGAGAACACCATTGCTAGGACTAACACATGCCATCAAGCCTCCTGTCCTTTCCAAGTTGAAACTGAAACTGAGACTGGTGAGGATTGTGGAGTAACGTGAATCAAGAAGAACGGATAAATTGGCCTGTCCAGAAGCTAAAATAAGTTATATGGGCTGAAAATAGTAACTGACAACATATATATATATATATATATATTCCCTTGGCTGCGATGTAATACTAAAGTATCATGTTGATCTAGTAGAATTATAGAGATTATGAACGATATTCTATTTTAGGATTGTATCTGATCTGATTCTCTCACATTCCTGAAACTAAAAATTTAGACCTTCTTGAAGAACTACGTAGTGTTTACGCTTTTATTCCGAGTAGCTTTTTGGTTACTCCCCGCCACTTACCTTGATCGAGAATAATATCCACCATATGGGTAATGCTCTTCCGAGTAAGGTCCGAAGTAAACATAAAAAACAGATCTTAACATCTCTGTAGTCAATTTCTACAAGGTGTTCGTGTTATTCGACTATACTTCATTTTTTTAAAACTAATACGGTCGGCATTAGATGTCGAAGACTTACAGAACTACTGATTTTTAGGTTTTCTATAAGGCTGTACTAGCAATTTCGTTTAGGGAATAGGTTTTAACGGCGATTTGGACTGTTATATGATTTAGGCGATTAACCGAAGCAAACTGCCGTTCTCAGCCCTGTATAAAGAAGCCAGCAACTTCATCCTGTGGAAACGAACTACTCACCAGATTACGATAATAAACAGAATCAGCATGTATTAGGACAAATTTCTTAGCTGTACAGATGCAACATAGTAGTCCATCAATGCCAAAACAATTCCCCTTTTGTAATCGTTTTGAATTCGTAAATGAAATTTATTGAATTTCGTAAAAATTCTTTCAAAGTATGTTTCTTGGTAGCATTGTTATGTATTCGATTTTTCTCCATGTTTACTATGTAAACTTTCAACTAGAAACTAAGTAGCTATGGTTTTATAATTCTAAATCTTTATTGACAAGACATCTGTTATTTGGCAGTGATTGTGTTTTCTCCACCATTTCATTTCATTATTGCATGATGCCGGAGCACTAAAAAACAAGGCCACACTTAATTGAACTCAAGATAACGACATGGAGCAGTTGATCATAATTGTATTTCAACTTTCCGTTGGAAATGATTTTCATTCTTTTGAGTTGATGCAGATGCAATTTTAACGGCTTTTAGTTGCAAATATTCCTACTGTTATTCATTATCTTGTGGACCAACAAGGTACATGGTCTGTATCGATGGCCACAGTCCACTTGGTTCGAAAAAGTGATGTAGCCTCACAAAGTACGTTACACCTCGCAGTTAGTATCTAACGTGGATTACCCTTTTGTAGCATCCATATACTGTGGTTAATTTGGCAATTGCATACGATTAACATGAAATCAGTCAAAAAGCGTATTTTCGAGACCTGGTAAATGTTCCTTGAGCTGGACCATGGAGTTCAATTCATTATTTCGCGTAATTCATTCATTACCATGACGATCTTTAAAAAACTGTTCAATGATCAGTGATCTAACGTCTAATGTAGAAATGGTTCAGTCTCCTTAGCTCAGTATACGCAACAATCATACTCATCAACCATTTTGTGATATATTTTACGAAAATTTATGGTAGGGAATTCGCTAGCTGGATAATTTAGGGTTTAATTTTAACCTAACAATAAGATATCATGAGGTACTTAAGATGGTTACGCTTTGATATAATTGTTGAATACGATTCACGAACTATACAGAAGAACGTAGTCGTATAAAATCGGAAAAACCTCGATTTGTTCGATCGCCTTCTGAGTTCATACCAAACATTTGATGTCTGATTGTTTAAGTAATGACCCTGACACTAGAATGTCCATCAGTTACATTGCAATATAATACCCCAGAACTGTATTGCAATCAGAATCTCACTACATAGATTTAGTCAGCAACGCGCCAGAATGAGTCCAGAGCGTTTTGGTAATTACACTGTATCAAATGATAATACGTAGAAAGGGTTGAGCCAAGATTAATAAACAAACTGATAGTCAGACAAACAAAGGACGAGGATGATTTATAAATCACAAAACTGTGCATCAGCTAGCCACTCCAACTGAACCGATAGATTTAGCTTGGTCTATGTATGCAGAGATGGAAAGTTTAGATATGAGTTCATCGGCACGTCTGGCTTTGATTAACCACCGCGATACCTGCGAGCGTATTTGATGGCATATCTGAGTTATAACATATAGACGCTTTATTCTTACTTTCCATATTGACGATTCCAATTCGAACTAACAAAAGTTTTGGAGGTAAGTGTGAGCACATAAAAGTACGTAAACCATTTTATTTTTTAAAAAATCATTAAATCAGACGTACGTAGTGGAAGCTGGTAAATGAAAAATAATGAAATAACATAAATGGAACTGGAAACGAGACGTGTCTAGATATAACATCCACTACATTCAAATGCTAACAGATGATTTACATTCGAAAAGTCCAATAGCAATATTGAAGACGTCCCGTAAAATCGCCAAGTAGGATTTCAGGACTTGATTTTTAACGAACATCACTCAAACAATAAACTTCCTAGTTCTACACTTCTAACGTGGATTAAAATGAATAAAAGGCCGGACTACATAAAAAATATTTTAGCTTAACTCCAATTTATTCTTAAACTAGATATCTTGATTAGATAGTTGCAATAATATGGTCTAGTCTTAATCTAGTCTAATCTTAAACAGTTTGTAAGGAATAATTTCATACTGATATATTACATGGATATATATATATATATATATATATATACAAACATTTTGTTTTATTACAAGAAAAACTATAATGGTTAGTATCTTTTTCTCCATTCTTAATCGTGCGACGGCTCCAGCCAATAAAATTTTGTTGTGAGTAACCATCACTCACCCACATTATATAACTGTATCCATTCACCGATTCAAACCATTGGCATCTTCGTCGTTTAATCATGGAAAGCCTTCACAGCAATACGGTTACATATCCTCAGCCTCGAAACACTGTGTATAAACATTTCAGAAACCAGTGCTTAGGTTTATTTTATTTTATTTATTTATTTATTTGAACACATAAATATTGGTACAGGGGGGCACCAAATATATATTCACCACACACAACAATGATAATTTGAAGAGGAGAACAAAAAAGTAATGAACGTGGGAAACTATAAAAACAAGAGAGAACAATGATGGGGAAAACGAAAAGGTACAATCAGAAGAAATCTTTCAGTTAAGGAAGATACAACCACTTTTTATGAAGAAAGTAAAAGAAGGTTAC